ATTTTTAATATTTTTGGTGTTATTGTTTCAATATTAGCTATAACCAGAGTTGTGCTCTGAAAATATCCTCCAAGTGATGTTTTTCGAAGGATTTTTTTCTCAAGAAGAAGATAATACTGGATTGATATTCCAATGATACGTTTGATATCAGGCTTTGAATCCCAACAATAACTGCTAAGTTAACATCTTTAATCCTAACACTTTATACGATATATTTTTCACAAATTCAAGGAATTTGGTCTTTGTATCGATTCAAGACGAAAAGGACCGTGAAAAATAAAAATTCTTGTAAAAAATTTTGAAAAAGACCGTGAAAAATAAAAACTCTTATAAAAATTTTGATATAAAATTATATGGAAAAAAACTTCACAGATAGTGCAGAAGTTAGCGCAAATGATATGGACTTGATTTGAGACATGAAGAGGTATTGGATTGAAGTCTTACGTTTTCGTAACTTATGCAACAAACGTATTTCAAATAAGATGAATCGTTGTTGATATGATCTGACGCAAATATCAAATTACAAGTAGCTGTGGATACCCCAATTGTAGGGTTGGCAATACGTATCCATTGAATAAATTTCGTGTTTGCGTGTTTTATTCAGTATTCATCGATTACAAAATTTAGATATTCATATTCTTTTTATTATTATCAAATGAAAAAAAATATATATATATTCAATCTGTAGGGTTTTGGATATTCATTATCCGAATACTATTTATTATTCGATAAAAAAAACAATATATACATTTGATATATACGTGTATATGTGTAATGTTAATAATATGTATGTACATATTATATTTGATTAAAAAAAAAACCTATAGATATTTTCTACACACACCTCGAGCCGGAATGGATCGAATTTCAAACTGGGTGTGGTAATATTCATACTTTATCCATTATTCGGAGATCTTGGATGGTCACAACCAATTTAAAATAGTAATTATCCATGAAAAAATTCTTATAGTTCGAGTGGATTTGGGTGGTATCCATGGAGTTCGGGTTAAATTGTCATCTTTAAGCCCAGAGGATTGAAAATAGACTTACTTGATATATTTTTTAAGTGATTTCCTGACACCATAACATCAGTTCAACACTGACGCAAGGCATGCTTCTTTAAGATCGTTTCTAAAAGAGATTTAGTTTTAATTAATGCGTAAATTAGTTCAAAGATATTCTGTGTATTTAAATAAAAAATGAGAAAATAAATAGTTCATCATGCCCTCGTATGATAGGGTAAGTCTTCAATTTATCTCGATGTTTTAATAAGATATATTATGTCTTCGTGTGGTGTTTAATTTTTTGACTAGTCATTTTCACTACTTTTGCCAAACAAATGCTCACATGTAAGTCACAAGATTAAAATTTATTCATGAAATGCCCTTTACTAGGTGGGGGAAAAAAGAAGAAGACAAGTCTCTAATACGTGATTCAATTTCTTATTATATTTATTATGTCATTGAATAATATCAAAATTCTCTAATATGTAATTTTGTGATGGTTTCCTATCCAAACTAACATAACTATATATTTTTTATTTTGAAGACACCCTTAATTCATATAAGAATATAATTTTATTTTTCTGAAAAAAAAGTTAAAATTTTAATGGTTTAGAGTAATTTTGAAACTTCATATTTCTTAAAATATTTTAAACTATTTTGAGAAATTTTCTATGTTATTTTTATATATATCGCAACTAGAAAAAATAAAAATCATAATTTTGTCAAATTAGATGAAAAAATGAATTAAAATAAATATTAGAGAATTACATATTATAAAAAAATAATAAATACATTTATAAATATAAAGAAATATTAGAAATTTGTCTCTCTCTCTTCTTTTTTTTTTTTTTTTTTGCATTTCGATCAAGAGTATTTTTTAAAACAACTTTAATCATATGACCTACATGTAAGTAATTATTTAAAAATAATAATTAGATTAACTAATTGAATAATTACATTTTATATAAAGACGTGATAAATTTAATTAAAAATGTAAGAAAAAATTATAAACTCATCTATTATACAAACATGTATTTAGCTATTTAAACTTATATATATATATATATATAAAAGAAGATATTATAGCACAAGTCATGTCGTCATCATCTAGAACAAATCAAGCACACCACTCTATACCTACGTGGCGCGTTGCTAGTGCACCGGTGGCACGTGGCATTTGTTTATGCAATGTTGGGTGGCAAGTAGGTGGGTCCTACTGCCACGCTGCTGTTGCCCGTGCATTGGTCCTAAAAGCTTTCCCATCATTGATTAGGTTGACAACTGCTGTCAATGAACAGTTTTGATAACATTAGTTTGAAAGAAGCGCGTGATGGGTTGGCGGGACTGGATTTTTTAATTTTGTACAATCACTGTCCTACTTACATACTCATTAACATATGAGTCCACAATCTTCAACATTTTGTTAATTTATCCTGCACCTTTTTTTTTTTTTTTTTGGTTTATCAAATTCACCTCCGTCCGTTTTCTTATTGTAAAATAAAATTAATAGAAATTCCCTAGTTCTGATAGATGACTAAGAAAAATTACAAAATTGAAAATTTCCCTTTTTTTCTTTTTCGATTTTGCTTATAATTGTTGCACTTGATGGTAATTAAACACATGTATTGCATAGTTGGAATATGTGCCACTTATACTTTTATTATTATTATTTTTAATTAAGTTCTTTCTCCATAAAATTACTAAATCATGTTATATGATTTATAATATATATTTTTAAAAAGTTTGATAACAATCAAACATTTTAATTGAATATATATTGAACATGTGGGTATTAGCAGAGTTTTTTATTTCTTTATTTTTAATTATATGATTTTTTAAAAAACTCATCTTAATTGTTAAGCAACAATACAAATATTTAATTGTATTTAATAACCATGTTTGACTTAGATAAGTGTGATATAAAATAAACTCAATTTAATATGAAAAAATTAAAATTATAAATTGTTTTACTTTTAATTTTAGAATTCGGATTCTTAAATTGATTGAATTTTTATATTATTGGTATTTAAACACATGGATTGAGATGACCAGATTGAAAGTTGTTTGATTATTTACAAGCAACTGGATGATTAAAATTGAATTATTTCCCATAAACAGTCTTTAAAAAAGCTATTTGTTGACGCATGAATGTAACCACGCTACATTGGACCTAAATATTAGTTAATTTCATTACACCTCATGTAAAATAACTATAAAATAAGATGGGATCCTGGTAAAATTTGTGTGTGTGAATAATAATGAAGCTTTACAGAGAGAGAGAACGAGAAAAAAATAGAAATTGGTTAAATATATTACGCTGCATGTAAACAAATTATAAAATAGGATGAATCTCTTATACTATCTGTATGTTTTTGTAAATAATAATAATAAAGTTTTGTATGGAGAGAAAAGTGAGAAAAGATTAAAATAGAAAATTTTAGAACCTTTTTTATTCCATTTCTTTTTTTTTTCTACTTTCAGAAAACAATTATTTAATTTTTATTATTTTCTGAAAATTTATTCTTTTTTTAACAAAGATGCATGAAAAAAATATTTTTATACGTACTTAATTTAAAGAATCTAATAATATATTATGAATTAAAAAAAATATAATATTACACAATTTAATTATTACAGTTAAATTGTGGTAAAATAGCAACAACATGCACAACGACGGCGATAGTGATGGTGACATAATGATGATTAGTTAACTTGCTAAATTTTTGATCCACCCTACGCTGCTAGGTGGATAAAATATATAAAATTATTTAAGAAAAAAATTTAGTTTAATAATCTGTTTTATGATAACAAGTAATTATAATTTTTTAATCAAAAAATTTTTATTTAACTATTTCTTATTTGTGTTTTTAAATTTAAGAAATAAATAATAAAGGAAATAAATTATTCGTTTCTTTAAAATTTTAACGTCCAATTAATTGTTGGTTTCTTTAAAATTTTAACACCTAACATTATTAAGAAATGAAAATTAAAAAAAAAAGTTCAATTTTTAGAAGATGCTTACCATAATGTTTACTAAATATATGTTAAAAAAAATACGTGTTTTGATTTCATAAAAACTCCTGTGTGTATTTTAAAAGAAATACGTGCTTTCTCATCTACAATAGACTTTGTGTACATTTCTCTATCTGCTAATAAATTCAAACAATTGAAAGTTTCACTCGATTTCGAATTGAATAATTAATGTTAGCTAGTGGATATGGATGATTAATATGCATTTTATAAAATTTAAGTTTTTTGAAGGTCGCTTTATATGTATATTACTTAGTCCAGGTTTGAAAATTGGCACAAGTTTGGGTTTTAAGGTCGAAGGGATTGAATTTATTCTGATGATCCATATATATCCATTGTTTGCCTCAAATCATTTGAAGGATCATTATTTAGCTTGAGGTTTTAGATCAGAGATCAAGGATTCAAGATTTATAACATCACATATATACATATATGACTTAATGGTTATCTATTAAAGGGTTAGAAAGTGCATGCCCTTCGTATTAGTGGTATGTACTTTCGAATATGGATAATCACCATATAACATGATTTTATACATTAAAAAAAGGCTGAAATTAAATATGAAAACTCTATTGAAAAATTTTCAATATGGTATTTCCTTTGGGTCAAAAAGATTTTCCACCTTTTATTTATATTTTTCTCAAAATCCATATATGTTTAATACTTTAAGCGATACAATTTATTAAAGTACCCTTAATTAAAATTTATTTTATATGATTATTAAAAACAATTCTAAAAAAATAGTATTTTTGAAAAATGTAAAAAAAATGATGATATGACATAACAATTAATAACATTCTTAATACATAAAAAAAGAAAAAATCAAAAGGGACAATCTTTTTGGGATAGAAGAAGTAATTAAAATGTTTTTTGGTCAAAAATACGTGGAACAACAAAACTTTCAAGTGAGAATTTATTTGTAAAAGAATATTACATACAAGGACCAAAAGAACTTTTAAAAATTACAAGGACCGAGGTGAATATTAGTAGCCGAGTTTGACTTAATTAGTACTAGCCCTGTATTTAATTGAGCATCATGGACTGTATTTAATCGAGCAGTGTGGACTCCTTGTGTCTTGGCCAGTAATTTTCCTAACTGTATGTGTTTGAGTATTTTTTCAGTGTTAGCTCTATGAGTAAAATATCTGTCCATTTTCATCCCTACTGTATATATTATTGACTTTATTCAAGAAAATATTGTAAAGTTTAGTTTGAATATTATATTCATCTCCTAATTGATTCTAATACCATACAACGGATATGGTAAGTACTGTTACTAGCTTGGTTCCCGCGAATTGTGTTAAGTCGCTATTTTACTTACTTTCCTTTTATTTTGAAAAACAAAAATGCAAAACTAAAGGGACAGCACATACTGCTCTCCTTCACAAAACTCCAAACCCTTGCACGTCAACATTACACTCATGATTTATTTTATCTTTCAAGTTATACCAAAACTATAACGATAATCATGTAAGTTAGGAAAACAACCGCATCTTATATGAAATATGGTAATCGTTTTTTATCTTTTATAGCCTTTCTACCTACGTTGACCCAACCCACTCACACCTCAGCAGCGCCCCCCCCCCCCCCCCCCCCCCCCCCCACCAGAATAAATAAATAAAAACGCTCTCTAGATTAAACGTGAGTAAATTATAAATTAGTACCTCTCATTTCGATAAATAAATTATTTAATCCTCCTGCTTTCAAAACCCAACCATTTAGTTCTTTTTGCTATTTTTTAATTTATTTTTATTTTTTTTTTAGAAATAGAAAAGAAAAAATAAGTAAAAATTATGAAAAGATTGATGAGAATATGATGCATTTTATAAAATAAAAAAAAATTAAATTAATCATGATCAATACTTATTAAAATAATTAAATAAATAAATTTTGAAATTAGGAGACTAATTCATTTTTCGAAAAAAGAAGGACTAATTTATAATTTACTCCGTCAAACTTGGATTAATTCAAACATCATGATACCATAACAACTGCTCAACATTGTAAGTTCACTTTTTTTGGTTCCATGGTAAATTGTATTTTCTATCTTTTTTTTATAAAGTTAATCGAGACTTTTTTTAAAAAATTTTAAAAAAACTTCTTTGTATATTAGGACAATAAATTACTTTGGTGTTTGTTTGAAAATTAACATTTAAGAAATTAAAAATAAACTTTTTGGGTAAATTTCAATTTACTTCCGTGGAGTTTATATGTTGTTTGTATTTCTCTAAAAACCTTTTATTTGTTTCAATCAAACTTATATCTTTTATTTTTGTTCCAATTTGCCTCTATATCTTCTGCTTCTATTCTAATTTCCTCCCTCCAGATATTTTCATTAGATTGTTAAATTTCAATTTCATCTCTAAAATTTATGAAATATCTCAATATCATCAAACAAGTTAAAAAAAAGAAAAGAAATTAACTAATTGAAATTAACAAAAATAAAAACAAAAAATCAATATAATTATTTATTTATTTATTAAAACAAATACGATAAAACCTAATAGGATTAATCTCTCAAGAAATTCTCAAATCCTACCCAATTCAATTGTCGCTTGTAAATATTTTTTTCTTTGTCATTGCTATAGTTAAATAAAAATAAAGATTCAAGTTAATTTAACATTTTCTTTTAGTTTTTTTCGTCAGGACCTAAACCATTCTGATCTCTAATAGCTATCGTGTCTTCTTTTTTCTTGACATTGTCATCAAGTAGGACCTTTAATATGAGCACATACGATCAATGCAATGTTAAAATTATCCTCTATACTCAAGTATCATTCTATTTATATGAAATTTTAATATTTTCTTCTTCATGTTTTTTGTTCAAGATTTTAATAAAAAATTATGTGTGTGAGAGAGAGATATGCTACCCATGAAGAGTGTATGAAAAACAATGATAATGGTGGTTGATACCTTTTATTAAAACATTTTTTTGTTATATTTTTTTAAATTAAATTTACTAAAAAATATATCTCACATTAAATAGATAAACAAAAAACGAGTAATATATAAAATTAGAAAAAATCCATTTAATTTAAAACTTAAGTCTTTTAAATAAAATTTAATTTCAATTATTTAAGATGTCACATTAGAATCTCAAATAAGTCCAATGATCCAGCAAAATTCTTAAGTTCAAGCCACTTCACAGCAGTATTAATGATTTTTTTATCATATATGTTTTATTGAAAAATATATTTCTGTAACGATTTTTTTTTAATTTTAATTTTTTTATTCTTTCCTTTTATGTTACATTGATACATTCCATAAATTTTAAGGATAAAATTAAAATTTACATAGAACGGAATAAAATTGAAAGATAAGAAATCTAATTAAAACAAATCGATAGTTTTGAGTGAAATTAAGAAAATACACAAACCTCAAGGAGGGCAAATTACCCAATTTTTTTTAACATCTAGCGTATCTCTTGAGATTAACATCATAAGTTCAGCGGCTTAACATGCGGTGGTTGTTGATTTTTTGCCACCAAATGTGCGAAGAAGCTCCCTGCAATATAACACAACCAAGCGAAAACAAATAATCAACCATAGCATTAATTAGCCCAGCAAAGGGCAGGTGAAGGAGCATGACTTTCTGGCTTTTTGGTGCCAATACCAACCAGACAAAGGACCTGATAAGATGCCTTCGGTACTTTTAATATCTCGTATGACAAAAGCATCCTTGTATCGTACAAACCTCCAGTATTATTTTTTGGTGATTAGGTCAGCCTTTACTCTCTTTTTTTAACAAGTAATGGATAAAGATGATTTTGCAGCCATGTGAGGCCGTTCAGTCCCTTAAAATACTTGATTATGAGGAGCACGTGACCTGTCAGTACCCAATTAACCCTTCTCTAAACACGCTCAGAATTGTTTATTTACCTATAGATATTCCCTTCCTATTAAATTATGTTATCTTCTACCCTATCCCTATGATTTCAGTGCTCTTATTTTAATCTATCATGAGGGTCTAAACGTAATATACAATGAATGAAACCAAAGAAAAGAAAAAAAATCTAATTAACTACATGTAAATGAGCGAATTAAAAACTATTGCATGAGAGGTGAATTAAAGCTTCGAAAATTGGAATAGTGCAGAGAGTGAGTGCTGGAAAACTCAGGCATGTCATCACAGCCATGTTCATGAACTTGTGCTTGCTCCCATTAATTACTTGGGGAGATGGCTACCTCACTTAACATTCCAACCACAAATGCTGATTCTTTTCAGGAAAAGCTAGCGTGATAGAATGATTGGGGACATTATTTTTTAAAAATTATTACATGCTTTGAAACAACGTATGTGGTACATGTCAAGTGACTGCGATAACAAAGTTTTGTGCGAGACATTTGATTTGCAAGACATAAATATAGCATTTGATATATAATTAATTAATGCTGTCAATGAAAATGCTTTCATTTGATATACACACACACGCACAACTTGACCTTTTTCTAGAGACAAATGCCATGAATCAATGGGAGCAGGTCACAATAAGAGGTAGGGAATTAAGTGAAATTCAGTTGCTTGTCCCCCGTCCCTCTGTGCCTTTCCTCTTGGGTTTGTCTATCAGATAAGATTGGGATAAAAATGAATGAAACGAAAGGGATGATAAAAGGGGCATCGGGTGCTCACTTTGTGTCATAAAAAAGATGAAGATTGAAGAAAGGACAGAGAAACTTTCTCACTTTTAATTTTAATAATTTCAATTTGATGAGTTTACTATTATATATTATTTCATCTCATCGTAGTTTTCGATAATTTAAATTTAGATAGATTAAACTTTCTTACAAACACATCCTTTGGATTACCCACTCAAATTTTTCTATCATTAGATTCTTAGCCTCTTAGAGTTACGAACTTGTGGGGGATATAAAGGTAACGAAAAAAAAATTCCAGTAATTTGAAAGACTAAAATCTAATTTCTAAATAGTAAGTACAGATGAGATTAAAATAAGTTGATGGTCTAATTTCTAAGATATTATCATGTCTTCCTTAGATATTGTCACACTAATTAGACATACCAACATTTTTGCTGGGGCTAAATAGAATTGGATGTAGGCAACCACGAAACTTTTCTGTGTTACAAAAGCATATCGAGGAGCTAGGCTTACGCTGAGTGGCTCTCGAACATATTATTGGGCTTGGGGTAGTTCATGGACCGAGGCCTACTCTCAAACTTTGTCCACTAAAAGTTTTTAGCCCAATTAGAATCGAACCCACCCAAACCCAACGACTACTTTTTTTGGGACAGTAAATCCATCTCAGAAAATTTGGAGACTCGTTAAAGAGCGATAACGATATTATTTGGTTTCTTGATTTGGGGGTAACATGATTCGTCACTGAGTTATAAATCCACTAATACTAACTTGTAAACCTTTTTTTGCTTTAATTAATTCATGGCAATTCTCAAATTATGATTAACTGCTTGGTTGGTAAGAAATTCTGGCTTAAATATCATAAATTGTACTTGCCTGTCCTACAAGCAGACCGGGGATCCTGGACGCAGCCCAACTTTGATTCGCAATATTACTTGGCCATTCCTTTGGATAAACATAGAAAGGGCAGTATTTCCTAACAAATTTCTCATATTCCTGCCTACCCTACCTAACTTAAAGGAGAACGTATTCAAAACAACCTGAAAAGCAAAGTAACTACTAGCATTTTGTAATCAAAAGGAGATTTGCCTAGAGAAGTTGAGCAACCGTACGCAAAGAAGGCAAAAACATTTTCTAACCTACTTTAATTTGGAAGGAGCTTTAAAACATTTGCTAATTACTTGCAAGCATCCCATTATGATAACCAAATTGCAGCTTTGGACATTTTCGGCCGGATAAAGCTGTAACATGGAAAATTAATTTGTACTGTCAATTATTAATGTAAGGCCAAAAGACAACGACGTGGTGATTATTTACGATTTAAACATGATGCGTATCAGAATCAATTTCGGCCATCTTGAATGACTTATAATCCATATGGAAATCGAATATGCAGAAGTCGGTTTTTTCTTTTAGTTTTTTTTTTAAATAAAGAAAAAAAACGTCATATAACAAAACTATGATGATTTCGATAAACATAACCTCAACCTCATATAATTCATTTAGTATCCAAACTTTCCAATATAAGATTTTTCTTTTCCTTTTAATTAATCTATGCAAGCCGTTTATGTGCCATGAATTATGTCGTGGTTGATTTAGACATGAAATTGGTGTCAATGAGGTCTTGGTATGGGTAGCCAAAAAGGATTAGCTCGGGATATTCTGGCTAGCATTTATATTTTCTTATAGCGTGATCTTCTTTCTAATTAACGCCCATACAGTTAAACATGCGGAAACTTGTAGTTGCAAACTTCAACCGAATATTTTGGTACAAATAGGAACAATTCTATTACCCTTTTCAGGTGGAACATATTCGGAATTAAACATGTACTTCAACATGTAGTCGCAAGTTTCCATCAAAATATCCTCAGATTATTCTTTATTAATCATCAAGCTTGGCAGCTTGTTGCGAAAAAACTTCATTTCATGGTTATGTATATCCAGTGTATGGTTGTTGTCTGTATGTATATGTGCGGGTGTGGGCTGGTGACATTCGCACGTTAGAGGTTACGAATGTCAAGCAAAGGTGGATTGGCTATTTGGATGGGCCAACACCTAATGCGATGATATCTACAGTGCCTTTGGTTTTGAAAAAACCATCATTATTTACATGTACAGAGTAGTAGATTTTTAACCAGATTGATCAGTCATGGTTTAATTGATCATCTTTATAAAATACAGTCATGGTTTAATTGATCATCTTTATAAAATACAGTCATGATATCCACAGCCATACCCTTTTTATGTCTTGCTCTCAGCTTCCCAATTAAACTGTTTAAAATTTGTTTCCAAAAAAAAAAAAAAAAAAAAAAAAAAGAGTTGTTTTAAAAAGACATTGCAAAACCAATACAAATGTTTGGAATTTTGGAAAGGCATTGTAGAAAATGCTCTATATGAAAAAACAAATCAGCACACCACATGTAGACCTTAATTATTATGTTTTAAAAATAATAAACTTGAAGCCTAGCTCGTGAAATATCCGTTTCACTTACCAATCTCCATTAGATCACTTCTTTAAAAGAAAAAAAAAAAGGGAAAAAAGAAAAAATCATATCAAACCAATGCATACCATCTATTTTTAATCTCAAAATTCACATAACTTGACACATTGCAAGCTACATTGAGAACAAGTCCACAGACGGAGAGAGTTAATTCCAGGAACCACGTCGAAGAGACGAGAGAACTAATTAAAACGAAAATGTGAAAGGGACTAGATTCACGTAGTAGCTAAATAAAGAATTAAGAAGCAGCAGGGGCGGCTGAAACGAAGAGCCAGCAGCTTGCTAATTCCCATGCAACAACGTGGGTGGAAGAGATTAGTTTCTATCACATACTTTGAAAACTTTACAAATCAACGTTCAACAGTTGAAATAAATTACATCACAGTATATACCACATACACACATTCACATGCATACGGTTCAAGTTATCAAGGTTAGTAACCTAATAATAGTTACATTTTAGGTGTACACATAGACCGATCCCCCTGGTATAAATGATAAAAATAAAATGAGAAAAAGTTGTTGGGGTTAAGTGATCAATATTTGTGTGGTAACGTGGCGTATAATCCTATAGATATTTATCTTCAGATATATCCATCTAGGCAAGATGCATGTTTATAAAGTATATATAATGGGTAGTTGTAAACTGATGAACCATCTCATTCCAGCATTAGAGAGCAGTCAAGCCAACCTATCCCATAACCTTTTCAGCCCATAAAACCATTGTCACCTTTCAAGCAAAGAACCAAACTAACATTTTGAACACAAATCAATATCCTCTGAAGATAGGATTTTTTTTTTAATTAAAACACCATAAACCAAGCAAAACGAATTAACCCCTGATGGATTCGGTTGTTTCAGAGCTCGAAGGAACTCTTCTCAAAGATCGAGACCCATTCTCTTATTTCATGTTAGTAGCATTCGAGTCATCGGGTTTTCTTCGTTTTGCCATGTTATTGATTTTATGGCCTGTGATTTGGTTACTAGGTATGTTGGAGATGGAAGAATATGGGCTCAAGCTAATGGTCTTTGTTGCCACTGCGGGTGTTAGTGAATCAGAGATTGAGTCGGTAGCAAGAGCAGTTTTACCAAAGTTTTACTTGGATGATATTGATATGGAGGCATGGAAAGTGTTTAGCTCATATGATAAAAGAGTTGTGGTGACTAAAATGCCAAGGATCATGGCAGAGAGGTTTGCGAAGGAGCATTTGCGAGCGGATGAGGTTATTGGAAGTGAACTTGTGATAAGCCGGTTTGGGTTCGCCACAGGATTTGTCAAGGGCAACAATATTGATTCTTATATCTCTACCCGGGTTGCCAAACTGTTTATAGATGAAAAACCTGGTCTTGGACTAGGAAGGGTTACTTCTTCATTCTTATCTCTTTGCAAGGTGAGTATTTATTAGCAACCTCGGCTCATTTGATTTAAGAAAATTAACTTAATCAAATCTTTCTTTGTTGATGCTTCAGTTGTTTAGAAACTATATATAATTATCTCTAAGTTATTCATGTTCTGTGTATGAAAAAGGTAACTAGTACTATGCTTTTAAGGGATGAGGCCCTCGTGGATTAAAATTTGGAAATTTTTAATAGTTCTCACATTCAAACTCTGCACACCGATGGTAAGGATGACAATTTGTCTAGTCCTGACCAAGCTTTGTCTCGATGGAGTTTCATCTGGTCAATACGGAGATTCTTCATGTTGATCGAGAGAATGAGATTAGGCGGAGCGTCTTGTATTTATTTTGAACGGAGATGAAGTAGGAATGATATTTATCTGTCATGTCCCTTTTATTTCGTTTTATTCTTAAAATTATAATTATATCTTATATAAAATTTATAACTATTGACTCAAAATTTATTTTTTATATGAATTATCTTTTTTTTTGTTATAATTTGAAAAACAAAACAAAAATAAATAAAAAAATAATTAAATAAAGCACCAATACGGTCGTGGGAATTTCCATCCCCATTTGGAATGGGGATTGTATAACAAATTTCAAGGACGAGATGGTCCTAGAGAATGGTGCATGGTTTAGTACTAGCCGAAACCCCGTTGGGCCACCTATTGAAACTATTCATTTTAATTATTAATAAAGAGCTAACCGTTAAATCCATTTCTTGTTTTGACAGGAACAAATGCATCCCCTATTCATGGCCAACCAAAACCAACATGATCATCAGCTCGTCCGCCCTCTCCCCGTGATCTTTCATGATGGCCGCTTGGTCAAGCTCCCAACACCATCCATGGCACTCCTAATCATCCTCTGGATGCCACTAGGCATCATACTCGCAACAATCCGGATTCTGGTGGGACTGATGTTACCGATGTGGGCCAAACCTTACTTGTCCAGAGTATTGGGTGGCAAAGTCATTGTCAAAGGCAAACCACCACCGCCTGCGTCCAGTGGCAAAAGTGGTGTGCTATTTGTTTGCACCCATCGAACTCTAATGGATCCTGTGGTTTTATCCACGGTACTAAGGCGTAAAATCCCAGCTGTCACATACTCCATTTCAAGATTATCAGAGATCTTATCACCAATCCCCACAGTTCGATTAACAAGGATTCGCGATGTGGATGCCAATAAAATCAAACGACAACTAGCCAAAGGCGACCTTGTGGTCTGTCCAGAAGGAACAACTTGTAGGGAACCATTCCTATTGAGATTTAGTGCACTTTTCGCTGAATTAACTGACCAGATAGTGCCAGTAGCAATGAATTATAGGGTTGGTTTTTTCCATGCAACTACAGCAAGAGGATGCAAAGCTTTGGACCCTATATTCTTCTTCATGAATCCTAGACCAGTTTACGAGGTGACTTTCTTGAATCAGCTGCCAGTAGAAGCTACATGCTCCTCTGGTAAAAGCCCACATGATGTTGCAAATTATGTCCAGAGAATCTTAGCAGCTACATTAGGATTCGAATGCACAAACTTCACTAGGAAAGACAAGTACAGGGTTCTTGCTGGGAACGACGGAACAGTATCATACACTTCCTTTGTTGGTCAGATTAAGAAGGTGGTGAGCACGTTCAAGCCTTTCTTTCACTAGCTATGATGATTTATCAGAGTAAGATTTGTTTTGTATTTCTGCAGCTTCAATTTATCTCCGGTTCATGTTTTTATTTTTTTTGCCTTTGTTTTTGTATATGGCTGGGATTTGGATTCTTTTCTTTCAAATTATAATCATTATTTCATGTAATTGTTGAATAATGTACAAGGATGCTAATGTTAATCAGTTATTTTGTTAATGTTAGGAATCCCATTTGCACTCGGAACGATAATTATTTTGTTCATTTGCAGTTCATCTACCGATCGCAGTATGTTTATGTTATCAATTTTCTTTTTAATCAATTTTTACCACGCTTAATATTTGTAAATTGCTTGTGATCATGGTTGCATTAATTTCTTGTTAATTAGATACTCCAATGAGATTTCTTCCCTTCAGCTACTGCAATACCAATCTGTAAGTTGTTTTCCTGACTGATATAATTACTTTACATAATCTCTTTGATCTGTATTTAAAAATAATAATAATAACTCACTCTCATCTATGATTTGAAGAGCCAGAATAGTGTAAGATCTACATTCATGAGTGAATGTTTTTTCTATTAGACATTCCAATGAATGTTATAAATTAAAGAAAACCATACCTGACTTACTATGTCTGCAGTCGTTATCAAACACAGGACTGAAAAAACAATTAAAGGAGGCTGAAAGCCTGAAAATTCAATTTTTAGAAGCCAGGTTCCTTCCATTTTATTCTTTTACCCTTGAATAAAAATAAAAGCAAGGGAAATGAAAATCAATACCTGCAATGCCTTTTCTTTTTCATGTATTCTGTTGGGCCAAAAAGGCAAGCCCTGGTCCATCGCACTAGCATCTTACATGGACCACGAAATAAATACACCTCACGTGCGGACCATGATGCAGGCACTCCCTTACCACGAGGCAACATATAATGGGCTTGCGACAAGCGATGCCTAGTAAAGCTATAGATGGACCATAACGCCAACTATATCCCTCATCCCACCACTTCCTAAGGTTCAAAAATTTAAACTAGGGATTTTCCATTAATTGCAATTAATCATCGATTAATGGCTTGCGGTAGGGTTCTGATTCTCAGGAATATATAGGTTTAGGCCCTATGGGCAGGGCTATTATACTTTCGAAGCCTATCGACCAATCATCTCGCAGAATTAACAAAATGTAACCTTTTCCTTTTCCTTCTCTTGTCAAGGGTTCCTTGGCAACTGGGTTTTTAATATTGACCATAATAATTAAGGTCCCCAAGTATGTTTTTGGAATGCCCTTGGTTTCAAATAGACCATCCATACTCTAACGAAACAATGGAATAACTTTGACGTATACCAGAATATTAGATTTGGTGGGCGGATTAGAAATTCGGCTGTTTTGTGTTGTTTTCAAAGTTAGCCAAAACCGTTTGGTGAAGAAGTTTTGACATTTTCATTAATTTGCCTCTGAAGAAAAAAAGCTACGACGACTAATTAAGTCTACCAATTGGTTGTTATTTCTTAAGGCGTGATTCATTCTCATAGTCATTTTATGAAACACGTTTTTTTGTTTTTTTGGTTACAGAAAACAGAAATTTATAGCATAGTACAGTTTTTCCTGGAAGTCTTGTTTCCTGTAATCTTGTCTTCACATACGTTGGTGTATCTGCCTGCCGGCTTAATTTGGCTCTCCATCATCATTGCCCACTTGTCAATTATATACTATATATTTGTCACTTGACCAGACGTCTACATGGGTAATCAGACAGAGAGATCGTTTAAACTGTTGAGATTAGAATACTGCTTGTTGTTCCTAACAGGCTATCTTTCGATAAATTTTCACATAATAAGATTAGCTAAAACTCGCTAATTTACGCTTGAACAAATCATGCACATCCGGATTATTGTATTTTTAAAATTCTGCCAGTGGTGAAATTTAGAATACTGGTGATTGTATTATAGTTCTGTGAAGGATATCAAATGAGAATTCGTTGGAAAAATTTCTTACTCTCTTCCTATTTCTAGCCACTCCACCAAGAACAAGCAATCCGGTCTACATGGAAAAAATTCGCAAGAAAAATTCTCGGGAATCACATTTTTAGAACTGTAGAATGATTGTGTAATTGTTAATTTTAGGTCTTTCCGGGATTGTCAACTACATTCAAAGGAGAATCAGATACATGTATGGTCATCTATCTAGGATAGAAAATTAAATCATTATTTAGAGTATACGAAGGCGGTCTTTAGGTAAAAAGAAGCTTTATCAAAGATGATGATCTTCCCTGTCTTAAAAAAGGAACTGATCTTTACAACACCTAATGCTTGCATATATTCTGGTCAAGGTCATAAAGAGATGCATGTAGAGTTTACAAGAAATTAAATGGAGAATATATAAAGCGTAGGAGCTTAGTTTTGAGGAGAGGGATCGCTTTTTCTATGCGTGAAGTTGGTGGCAAGGAGGCCCTAATAGAAAAGCAAGGAGAGATTATTTAGAAGAAGGAAAACTACAAAAGATTAGCTCTTTTTTGTAAGCGAATTCCTAATGGAAGTTTCTGTGTTTGCACGTATGACAGTGAGCTCCACATAAAATTAGACATTTGAAAAAACAGGAAGAAAAAGGAAAAGAAGAAAAAGACTTGGTTAGCAAAACACGTCGCAACGACTGGAGTCCCATCTATCAAGCTGGCTTTTTCGTCACCGCAATTAATTATAGAGTTACCGTATAAGATTTTTCTACAAAACAGATCCTTTTAATTAGTAGAAGATTTTTGTACTTTTATACTATATATATATATATATATATATATATATATATATATATATATATATTTTTTTTTTTTTTTTCATACCACAATTATAGTGCCAAACACACCGCATGCGGAAAAATAGATTGGACTTTTGAGCTTTTCTCCTAATGTTATCCCTTATCATTTGTTCTTAATTATACTACACAAATATCGATCGTTGAATTCCCTCAAAAACAAATTTAAGTGAATAATATTTAATTTTCAGTATGAAAAAAAGAGGGGTTCTTTATTGGAAATATTTAAGTAGCCACGTGGAAACTCAATGAATCATTGAAAAATGTTATTAAGTTAACTATGGGCAGGATTTGATAAAATGTCCTAATCTTAAACAGTAATTGTATTGATTTGCATCATTGATGATGATATCCCATGTGTGATTATTCTGATAGAAATTAAGCCCGGTCAGAGAACCACCAAAATTTTATTTTATTGATTAATTCAACCCAAGCATACATTAAATAAGTAAAAAAAAGATGCAGGGCCAAGTGGTCGGTGTCTTCTTATACATATATAAGTTTACAATAAACTGTTTATTTTCGAGTATTAGTAATGAAGCCATTTACAAGTTGCAAGCACCATGAGGCATTATATATATATATATATTAAAGCAAGGGTTTCTAATAATAAATAAAGTTTGACGAAACTGAAGAAACCAACCAAACGCAGCCTCGCAGGCGGGAACATGAATGCATGCTATGTAGGTAGATGGTGACGTGTCGGGGAGCAGACGGTCGACCTTTCTCTCAAATCATGACTCAGCGTTGCTGCGCGTAACACGTTTCACTACCTATCAGCGCGTGTCAAACCCCACGGGTTTTAAGATTTCTCAAGATTTTCAACTCAAACCCAGCTTCCAACCGATATGCAATTTCTACCCCGTAGTTTGACAAAAAAGGTAAAAATAAAATAAAAATATCGATATGCATAAGAGAACCTCGTGTGAATTGTTATCCTAAGTAGTCTTTGGCACTTGGCAGGTGTTGAATGTAGGAAATTCTTTTACAATGTTTTGACAATTTTTTTTTCCCGAAAATAACTTTAAAAATAAATTAATATAGGTTTAATTATTAATTGGTTGCAGAAGACATATTGAGTAATTGTTTTGTAGTAGTTATTTTTCTTATAAAATCAACAGTAAATTTAATTAAAAATTCAAATATTTTATGAAATCAAGTGAACAAAAAAGCTCTTGGACAGTCCCATTGTTTTTATAAGCCTTAGCCAAACCAATTGGAAAAAGATGACCCTTTCTTTTTGTTTTTTCCCCCTTGTTTAAATCCGGCAACCTTGATAGAATGGAGAGACTCGGAAGTCATATTCGCACTCGCAAAATGAATTTTCGTTGACGGATTAGATAGGAAAATAACTTGTTTTTCTGAATTTGCTCTCTGTCATCATGCGCTTCAAGCTATTGTAGTTTTTTTTTTTTTTTCCCACCTTTTTTCAGGTAAAAGAGGAGGAGACATGCTAATTTGCTCATATACATCAATTTTGACAGCAAATTATTCGCAAGATAATTAAGGATAAAATGCTCTTTGTGCTCTGACTACGATGCACATTTATTTCCTTCATCTACTCATCTTTCTCACCCACTAATTTAAAATAGCAAAACTATATAATGAATTAAAAAACAATGTGCATTTGTCTATATCCATAAAATACTAATGACCGTCTATCTTCTCTGAAAACAATGGACTTGGAATCTCTATGTGCAAATGAATACGTTTTCGAGATCATAATGTAGTCGTTATTATCCCATTCAATGTCATAAAGCCGTCATGGTTAAGTAAAAATTTAAAAACTTTGGTATCTGAATTTATAATTATTTTTGTAAAATCAATTAGCATCAAATATAACTATTTACAATTAAATATTTTGCTCCTATCAATGACGGCACAAATCAGCAAAGAAAAAAGAAGCAGTGTGGCCCATTTTATAAGTATGTCCAAGAATTTGCTAAATATGAGTTTGAAACAGCGTCGCTATTCGCATGTTTGCTGAACAAGTTTACGATATCTTCTACAACCGACAAATGGTAAAATCTGATGTTAGAAAGATTTTATATTCTCACTCGCCTCTGTAGATTCTGAAAATGACACTTCGAAAACCCATTATTCTTTTCACAATTATTTTGGGAATTTTGGCGATTCGGAAACTTTCAGAAGTCCTTTTGACTTTTTTAGCAAAGATAAATCCAATGTCTGCTATGTATTAAAAAACAACACCCAAAGACATGTTTTTTGCAATATAATTATATTCCACAAAAAAGAAGAGGTATATTTGTTTCAATTGGGTGGAATTTATGAAGCCATTCGCGCCCCAAAAAAAAAAAAAACTTCCTACCATTTTCTCTTTCAGCTTTGACCTCAAAACCTACTTCCAATGAAATGACACCGCATCATGAAAGCATCAAAACCTCCCTTTTCCCTTCGAAAATTCACCTATTACCCCGAAGATTCCTAAAAATATCAAGAGGAGCGTCTGTTCTAAAAATCTCCTTTCTTTCTTACAATGAAAAAAAAGGAAAAAGGCAAACACGACCAAAACCGACCATACAAGCAAAGAAATTCCACTATAACGTCCGTTTATCTGTCACCAATCATCACAACCCACGTGTCGCGTTTGGACCACGCTAACACCGTTTACGCGTTTCAGCCGTTAAATTACCCCTCTCCACTCATATAATCTCACCCCCTCCTGTTTCTTCCCTTTAGAATAAGAACTCAATTTTCCCCTTTCTATTTCTCTCCAACCAAACACCAAAAAGCTCATATCTTTAAACAGATCTAACCCAAAATAAATTTTGGGTTTCATTCAATTTGATGTCATCTCCAACTACGCCGTCGTATTGGTGCTATAGATGCAGCCGTTTCGTTCAGGTTTGGAGACAGGACTCGGTTAGTTGCCCAGAATGTGAATCCGGGTTCATTGAAGAAATCGAAAACCCACCTCACGTGATTCAAACTGAAACATCACGTGACCGACAGCGCAGGTTTTCTCCCGCTGCCGGAACCATGTTCATGATCGGTAACCGCTCAAACCCTCATCGCCGGAACCGCCGCGGTGGCGCCGCCGGTAGCGGAGACCGGTCCCCGATTAATCCAGTGATCGTGCTTCGTGGTGGGCCTGGAGGAGCGGTGGAGGACGTAGTGGGAGATGACGGTGGTCGTAGCGGTGGTGGGTTTGAGCTTTATTATGACGATGGCGGTGGGTCCGGGTTGAGGCCGTTGCCGCCGAGTATGTCGGAGTTTTTATTGGGATCAGGGTTTGAGAGATTGTTGGATCAGTTATCACAGATTGAAATAAATGGAGGGTTTGGTAGGTATGAGAATCAGCGTCCACCGGCGTCAAAATCGGCGATTGAATCGATGCCTACGGTAATTATCGATGAATCTCATATTTTCACTGAATTGCATTGTGCTGTTTGTAAAGATGCTTTTGAATTAGAATCCGAAGCACGAGAGATGCCATGTAAACATATTTATCATAATGATTGTATACTTCCTTGGTTATCTATTCGTAATTCTTGTCCTGTTTGTCGACATGAATTGCCTTCCGGTGATGATGATGGTGAGGATGGTAATAATGGGATTGAGAGTCCGTTGCCTGACGCAGCGAATGGACAGGGAAATAATGAGGAGGAGGCAGTTGGATTGACGATTTGGAGATTACCGGGAGGAGGGTATGCAGTGGGGAGGTTTACAGGGGCGAGGAGGGGAGAAAGAGAGTTGCCTGTGGTTTATACAGAGATGGATGGTGCGTTTAACAACGGTGGATTGCCGAGGAGGATATCTTGGGGGTCTAGAGGGGGTGGAAGAAGGGAGAATAGTGGCGGGGGTAATGGTGGTGGAAATGGTGGTAATAGAGGGTTTGGTTTGGGGAGAGTTTTTAGGCATTGGTTTGCTTGTTTTGGCGTGGGGCAGAGTTCAAGTTCCGATCCCAGAGCCACGGGGAGGAATAGGCCTTATTCGGTTTTTAGTAGTTCCTCTTCGATGAGGAGAAGGGGTTGGGGTGCAGAGATTAATAGTGCAAGGAGACGGTGAGAATACATTGATGAAGGTGAACAAATGAATGTTCTGTTTTTTGCTTCTAAGGTGCTTGTTACTGAATTGTATATATGGATTTTTGAGAATGATACCCAATTGTGAGTTTCAATTCATAATCTATAAAACATATTGAGGTTTTATGAATTGTGGAACAATATGATCTCAATGAATGAATTGCGAAGAAGCTCTCGGAGCTAGGTACCTGAAATATGTTAAAAGAGCTCGGCATTTGGAGAGAAACATCTTGGAAGCAAGAAGGTACAGGCCTAATTATATTATAGTGCCTTTAGCTAGTTTTCATGTAGTGAACTATAGGCCTTGTATTTTAATTTTTCTCCATTTCTTTTTCAATTCTCCATTATTTGGTATTTGTAAGTTAGTAGCAGACCAGCAGTTGTTTTCCTCCTGTCATTCTTTTTCCAACAAATTTATAAACTCTAGCACCTCTCAGTTTGAAGCATGTTGCAAGAGCTTTGGATGGTTATTGGGTATTTTGCTTCTCTATGTTTAACTTGCACAACATGAATCTTCTTGGAGTTCTGGTTGTAGGCATATTTCTCACACTTGCTAGAACATAGGACTTGGGATCAACCATATGCTGGATTCACTTTTGTCTCAACCTGAGGGTAGTTAAAACACTTAATCTCAATTGAACTCTTCAAGAAATCCCCGTCAGCGCAGTTTAAGAAGCATATTATTAATTTGGTTTAATAATAGAATGAACATATCGCATCAAGTGATCAACTGTGTTTTTGTTTTCGAGATTAACATGTGCTGTCAAAGTTGAGCCTATCCAAGTTCTGATCAGTCTCTTGCTTTGCAAGAATTCCAATAAAAAAGAATAAAAATGTGATGAATAATGGAGGGTAGCAATCAGGAATCATTTGGTGTTGCCATTAATGCAGAAAATTCTTCGGGGAGATTTGGTCCACGAACAGATATTGGGACGCTTTACAGTTGTGAATCCAACAAATGCCGGGCCTCCCAAGCTGGCAGGCCTAGTTGTAGACGTAGTGTATTGCTTTTGGGGACAAAATAGTGGCTAACAAGAAGTAAGGTACACTTAAAATCATGCCCTGGAAGTGCCAGAATTTTGCAAGCACCTTACTTTGGAAAGCAGTGATGACAAGAATATGAATAAAGAAATTATTCCATATCAATTTTGCAGTTGGAGAATTTGCAATTTAACGGAACTTTCAGTTGCCAACTTCTTACACATGCTTCTGATTTGCAGTGAGCCGAAAATTATCTGCAAGCCATGTGGAATAAGATTTTATTCGATACCTAGTTTGCGTTTCATTGAGATCAATGGTCATGGAAAGAAAAAAACTTTATGCCTGTTTTTTTTCTGAGTTTACTGGTGGATATGCCCATTTCTTGGTGGAAGTATATAGATATACGATTATACGTTCTGTAAAATGTCTGAATTTGGACCATTAAAGCCCACGAGTACCAACCATAGCAGCCTCCTGTCGAAATCAATGTGGTTGTGTCCTCTTTTGAAACCCACACTGATGCTAACGTGCAAGATGTGTTGCATATGCACGGCGATATGTGGTAAGTTGCCGTCTAGCCGGCTGATTGATTTTGCGCCTGTTGAGTGTTTGTCCTAAATCATTTATTTTTTCTGGCTTCTAGTGTGAGTTTCAAACGTTCTGAGAAAGCATTTCCATCGCCAATTCGCCATGTCACAAAATGTGAATCCTTTTGAACCTCTAATTAAATCGATCCTTTTCATGGCAAAGCCTGTGCGCTGATTGTATGGCTATTGCTCAAAGTCTTCCCCATACAGAAGCCAGGATTTCTTTCCAGCTTTTCCAGACATTTCAAGCAATTTTTAGATAGAAACAAGGACTAAATTACTTCCTCTTTCCAGGCGAAATGACTTTTAATCCCTAAGAAGAGTCGGTCCTGTGTCTTTGTATTCATTGTGTGACGGTTCTGGCCCTATCATGTGAGGTATATATTTTCTACTTTGGCCAATTGACCTTGAAGTTTTTTCTGCAAATGGTTCGTTACAGGTTTGAGGCTTTGCCCGTCAATATAAACTCAATGGCACAGCTATGATATAGAGTTTGCGGTACCAAATGAAACCAGCCTATTGTAATAGTACTAGTATGCAAGTATTATATACGAGTCAATGGTTCAGGATGTTTCTGTACTATTTTGTTTGTTTTAAATTCTTAATCGTATTTTTTTTATTAATGTCATCTGTCAATGTTGATTTTGCGTTTTAATTTTGTTTCTCTGTCCAAATTTTCAGATAATAGATAATAGTGTATAAAATGTTGGCACTTCTTATTTTTTTTCCTTTGTTTGATTTTCAAAATTAAATAAATAAATTTCTGAAATGGAAAATGAAAAACTCAAAATGCCCTTCGTATAAAAACTCCAAATCTCCAATTTAGTTTCAATTCTTCCCTAACCTAATGACGTGACAACATTCTCTCACTAAAAATTCAACCCAAATCAAAAACCAAAACCTATCAAAATCAATTCTTGACTCACATAGAAGTTAATCTACTCCATTACACGACAATTTCTAACCGGAAAATGAATAATATGAAATGGATTGTATCTGGGTTGGCAGGTCAAGGAGTCGCTTTTGACGGATTCAACCTTCCCCACCACTTTTCTTCATTGTTAAGGTTTAAGGGAAGTGTCAAAGGTGTTTGATGAGTGGCTTGCAGTTGGTTTCAGAGTTAGGTGCAGCTAGAGGACCTCGATATTTAGAAAAAAGGGCTGACGGGTTCGAAGTTGTCGTTGGTTTGGAGGAGAAAGGACTGACAGACAGTGACCAACGAGGTTATTGGAGTGTTCAAGAGAGATGGTTGTGGGTGGTTCTTTCTCGGCGAATGTGGTCGGAGATGGTGGCTATAGGTGGAGGCTGGCGGATTGTTGAAAATAGGTCGGGCTTCTTTCCTTCTCTATTCGTGTGAGAAAGAAAGAGAGGAATTTAGGTCGGAGATGGTGGCTGTAGGTGATGGAGTCGATCGTTAGTGTTTTTTTGACTGAATGATCCTCGACAACAGTCAGAGAGACTAGTGGTGGTGGCTGATGGCATTAAGGTTTGGGGGTTGGCAGCCGGTGGTGTGGCGAAAATGGTGGTTCGGGTTAACAGGTTGAAGATTTGGGTTAAGGATTCGGGTTGGTTTAGGGAAAGAATGAAATTGAATTGGGGATTTGTATACGAGGGACATTTTGGATTTTTTATTTTTCATTTCAATGATTTATTTATTTAATTTTGAAAAAAAAAAACCACATGTCAATATCTTGTACTTGGTTACCTGAAAATTTAGATGGAGGAATGAAATTAAGATGAGGGATGACTTTGATTAAAAATTTAGTAAATAGATATGATTAAGACAAACACGACAGTAAATAGGCATCTTAAACTACTAACACTATAATATTTCTTAAAGAATACATAAGTTCTCATATTTCTTTTGTTATTGCAATGTATACTGCAATCCATGCATAGAGTATTGTTTCATTTAACGAAAACAACAACACGGATAACTCACGAATAGACATAGTGATAGTCATTATAATTTTATTCAACTTTTAAGATAATTTTTATATGTCTCTGTGTATAAAAATTTTATTACAAAATATTCATGCAATGCATCATTATTCTAATCCATTAGGTTTGGTAAATTTAAAGTGATAAAAGATAGATTACTTATTACTATTTTTGGTTGATTGTTTTCTAGCAATTAATGAAAGTTTTATTTGAGCTCTAATTGCAAACGAATCGTTTTGTAGAATAATTTCATTGTGGTATAAATTATTAGCTCATTGTTTTGTCAATCTAGTACATAATAACGTCCAAATGAATAAAAAAAAGGTTTTGCTATGATTTTTTGTTGCGTAGACGTTAAATGAAATGGAAAAAAGTATGTAAATCCATGTTCTAGGTCGCATGACTAACCATTTGATATTGTTAAAAACTAATTTAGGGTATAACCGAATACTCTATATCTCTATATCTGAATATATTTCATCAGTTCTTGTTTTGCTTCAACTTGTTATTGAATATATCTCACGTTAAATAAATAAAAAAATATAAAGCAGTATAAAAAATAAACATACCACAAAACTTAAAGCCATCTTTTGTCATATCTTACAGTTTTTTATATTCTTTTATTTATTCATTCAATATGAGATGGTCCTTCTAAAACTTTTTTTCCACTAGCAATCCATCTTTTAGCTTTAAATGTAAAATTTGCATATGCCAATGGAAGTTGCAGTGAAATTTAAACTTATGACTATTTGATAATTAAAACTCTATTATCAAGTCAAAAAACCATTTGATTACCAATATCATTCTAATACGTATTCTATGTGCCATGATGGTGAAATGCTAATGTGGTGAAGGGAATCGATGAAGTTGAATTAGTCCTTGTGTTTTTAAATTTTTTTATAATTTAATATTTTTCTGTCTTTTTTATTTTAAGAAATAAAAAAATATATGAAAGGATAGATGAAAAACATTACATTTTTAAATAAAATAAATATTAAATTAAATGTGGTCGACATATGTTAAAAAGATTAAATAATTAGTTTTTGAAATAAAAATGACTAATTAATTCATTTTTCAAAAATAAAAGGACTATTTATAATTGGGTTTTGCACTGTAAATGACTATATATATACACACACATACTCTTCATTTTGCATCATTACAGATCCTCTTTTATAATATCATTAGTTGTTAATTGATGTGGTGATAATGTGGCATATCCATTTATGATTGCATGAACATGTCACACTTAAGATTTCAATACAAAACAAAGAATAGAAGGTTTTGATCAAAACAATTCAAAAAGTATAAGGTTTCTATCAAAATAATTAAAAAATTACATGGATCAAATTTTTTTTTCTTTTTTTTAATTTTTGTGTTATTATATTTTTAAGACTCCATCTTATATGATGTCAATAGTATCATGTGATCACAATAAAACTTTAAAGAATGTTTTTTTTTATTATAATAATTTAAAAATTATAAAATACATACAAAACAACCTAACATGTAATTAAAAAAAGCAGCACGAATATGTTTGTTAAAATTAAAATAAAAACAATAGCATACTGACAGATAGTTAATCATTTATATATATATATATATATAAATATGATGCAGTCCTAAACTTTTTTAAAAAAAACAATCCCATTTTTCATTTTAAATCGGTCAAATGTTCATAATTTCTTACATTTTAATACTTGTTTATTTATTATTTATTTAATATTGGTAATTTCTTATATTTTAAAAATATTTTTTCCCAAAAGTTTATATTAGTCCTTGTATTTTTAGAAAATTTAATTTGGTCTTGAAAATTAATATTTTTCATAATTTGGTCCTTTATTTATAAGTTTTTGGTCCTCGAAGTTTTCATAAAAGACATTGATCTTTATTTTTTAAAATTTATGCAATCAGATCCTTGTATGTAAATACTTTTTAATTTAAATTTCACATAGGACAGGTGTTATGCATTCAAAAACAAAAACACCACGTCATCTTACAACTAATACGCTATAACAGAGGCTTTTAAAGAATACAAATTGAAGAACCGATGGTCTCAATTTTAGAGTTTTAATCAAAACAATTTAAAAAAATATAAGATTTAGATATAGACAAAACTCATTTATAATTTACTTGAAGAATGTATAATTAAATTGCTTTCTTTTTTAGATCAGGCAAGCTGCGACATGACTGCAGATTACAAGCACGGAATTATTATTCTATAACTTGCACAGATTTTACGCAAAGTTGGGATGTTATTTCAGTTTCAGGTTTATTTTCCTTTATAAAAAGTGAGTAAGAAAAGGGGACAAAGAGAGTTCCAGCAGTATAAAATTGAACTTCCACTGCTGCCGTGACATGATTTTTTTTTTTTTAATCTATTCCACAAGCAAAAAATAGCAATTACGAAAGAGAAACGAAAGTTGGACCGACATATGCCTCCCCAACGTCAACAATAAAAAAGAGTATTAAGTAGTTGAGAAAGATTTGGATTTATCTTTGTATGATTATTTGAGCAATCATGCATGGAATTCATATATATATTACTGTATGACAATAAGCATACCTCCCCCAGAAAAAATCAACTCTTACTGGAATCAACATAGACAAATCTAATGAAGTGGGGTCTTGTTTCTTGATTTAAAAACGCGTTAGGATTCCCAAGAATCAAGTTCACATCAGGCTTTGCATGCATCTCTAACTGTCCTTCTTCTTAGATCATGACTTTTGATGATGAAAGCACACCAAATTCTACTGTTTCCTTCCATTTGACTTCATTTCTCATTTGTTTAAGCAAATTTATGTAAATCGAAATGTTAGCTAGACAAGTAGCTAGTAACAATTTTATTAGGTATCTTTTTGTTAGAAGCAATAAAACATGGATGTAGACTATCGACTAGCATATACCGAACTGAAGGCAAATGTCTCGTCCATTCAATTGCTTAAAATACGTAACTTGCAACCCGAGGACAAATATTCTTGCAAAGGTTCAATTTTTGTACTTTTGGTTTGACAGTAGGTAATATTTTCAGACGAGTTTATGCACACTAGGACTAATTAAGTTCATATTTTTATCTCTATCAATGACTAACTAGCATTTCAAAATCGGAAATTTCATAAAATTTCACTCCACATTCTAGCATGAGATTCAAGTTTTAAGTTTTACATGGAGTATGCGTTAAGGAGATTCTTAATTAGTTCGTAAATCCACACGTAAATGTTAATGAAAAACATCAAAGTCGTTGGTCAATGTTTTCAATTCAATAGTTCAAAATGAGATGAAAATGAACTGTTCTCTTGGTATTGAGTCTCTATCCTGCAGTCTCCATCTCAATCCATATATCGTACAGTAATGGACAATTTGGAAAGTGAGTCAGTGACCAAAGATTGGACAAAGAGACATGTTCTAACTTGGTTGGTCGAGCCTCTATGTAATACAATTTTCAACTAACTAATGGACATAAAATGCACATTGTAACGTACCAGTAATATTTTTTCAAGGAAAAGCATGTGTGCGTGCCTTACCATCAAAGCATATTGTCTTTATTATAGAAAATGTGTTGAACCATTTTTGTAAAAGCTAACAGAACAATAACTATTCGATGTGCGAGAGATAAGGAGAGATTGGTTTGGTTACTAGAGGTGGCGTCACTAGATAGCTGGCTAGTTAGCTTGAGATTCTTTAGCACAGTGCTGACTTAGCTTGTCGCACGATTGAAAGCTAAATGATGCAGGACCACTAATTTTAGTGGCTGCCAATTCATTTGCTGCTTATCTTTGGTATCGTGTTATAAATGGATTTTGGAGAATTTTATTTTAAAGGGATTGAGGCTTTCATTTAGTCCTTGTAATTTTCAAAAATTTTAGTGTACTCTTTGTATGCTTACAAATTTGGTCTTAATCAGAAGTTTTTTAGTCTTGGAATTTTCTTTAAAAAATAAAATTTAATCATTATATATATATATATATATATATATATATTACAATCGGGTCTTTGCATGATTTCTTTAGATCATACAAGGATTCATTACATACTTCCTTTTTTTTAATGTAAAACTTATAGTGCAACAAGTTATTATAATTGTAATCATATATTATATTGTAATTCTTAAAACTACACAATCAAACATAAAAATATAATGATCTATTAATTTATTTTATATATTTCATTTAACCAGTGAATATGTAGGTTTATAGGTTTAGTTGAAAATATTATTTTTTTCATAGGCTAGAGATCTTGAATAGAACTTGATAAAGAAATTGAATTTTGAGTTTCATGCAATTATCCTTGTATTTTAGGATTTTGATCCTAACTTTAGCGTCCGTCATATATAACTCAATATTTTGACTGCACGTGTATAATTACTATGCAATATTGTTAAATATATTTTTTTCGAAACAAGAAGAATATAATTTTTCAATCACGTCATGAAAATTAAAAAAAAAAAAAAATCAAAACTCTTCTGTCTGTTAGAATTGACTGACTTTGTTCTGTAAATTTTAATGAGTTGCCATAGCTCCTTGTTTGCAAACTACAGTTGCAGCTGTTACATGTAGGAGTATCCATCAATCATCAATCAAAACAAACATAAAGTTCAAAAATTTCTTCCGTTATAGATTCACTGATTGGAGAGTTGGCAAGCTAGTTCCTCCCCATCTACAAGTCTTGATTGCCAATTATCTTTGCGGAAAGTTTCAAATTTCAAACCTTTATCTAATTCAGTGTCCCAATCACCAATACATCACACGTAAATCAATTTTAATTAACCAACCAGTTGTCTGTTATTGTTCAAGATTCAAGATTAAATATGAGCTTCTCATGTCCAAGCAAAGGGTTTTAGTGGCTACCAGTTCTTGGGTTCAAAAGAAATGAGAGAAAAATATTGGATTCTTTCGACTTGAAAAATGGGATATGATGGCTACACAACTTCTTTAGGTTTAAAGGGAAAGGCAAAGAGATGTTGATAACTCAGAATCCAGTTGTCCCATAGGCAAGAAAGGGAGGCCTTTATCAGTTTCAGGGCACTTTCAAAGCAAATTCGTGAATTGGGAGAGGCTTGGCAACACTTACCAGCCAGGATGAATAAAGGGGGCATGCGTAGGGAAACGTAGAAGGATTCCAAGGAAAAAAAAGATGAACACATTATCATCCATCTAATCACTTTACCAAAAAAGACATAAGAATCAATTCATTCAAAATAAAAGTTGAAAAGATTATAAAGAATGACAAGAATGAGAACGAGTACGTCTGTCTAAAAATAAAAGAATGACAAGAATGACAAGAATCAATGCAAACGAGGTCCATCCTGTCAAACAAAATAAACATTCCTGTATTAGCAAATGCTTTTTCATTGTTGTCAATTCATTTACTGCTTATTTTTGGTATGATGCTATGAAATGGATTTGGAGAATTTTATTTTAATGGGATTGAGGCTTTCATTTAGTTCTAGTAATTTTCAAAAATTTTATTGTACTCTATGTATTCTTACAAATTTGTTCTTAGTCATAAGTTTTTTGGTCATGTTTCTTAAAAAAATTTAATCCTTATGTATATATATATATATTACAATCAGGTCTTTGCATGATTACTTTTGATCACATAAGGATTTATTACATACTTTTTTTTTAACGTAAAAGTTACACTGTCACAGGTCATTATAGTCCTAATCGTATATTCTATTATAATTTTTAAAACTACACGATCAAACATAAAATTATAATCATCGATTAATTTATTTTATATAATTCATTTAGCTAGTGAAGATGTAGGTTTATATAGTTGAAAATATATTTCTTTCGTAAGCTAGAGATCCTGATTAGAATTTAATAAATAAATTGAATTTTGAGTTTCAAGCAATTATCATGTTTGGGTCCTGTATTTTAGGATTTTAATCCTTGTTTTTAGTGAATTTTACCCATCATATATAACTCAATATTTTAACTATGCATATATAATTGATATGCAAATTGTTAAATATCTATACTTTTTTTTGGAAAAGAAAGAAGAAGAATTTTTTAGTCACGTCATGACATTGTTTAGATATGGAATGACAAAAAAAAATTCAAACTCTTCTATGTTAACTTGTAAAAATTGACTTGAATAAAACTTATAGTTTAACAAGTTAAATTTTTTTTATTATAATTATAATTGTTTATATTACAAATAAAGATAATATCATCTATATTTATAATCGTCACTTGATAAAAGCTTAATAAAAATTTTTAGTGTAATTATAATAGGTATAATTATCGAATAAATTTTTATATTGTATGATTGTTTTTATTATTATTATTTTTTTTTTACTTGATTCGTTTTTTAATATTTTTAATATGTTAAAATTGACTTATTTTGTAAATATAATTAGAAATGAAGATAGTTCTGTAAATTTTAATGAGTTGCCATTGCTCCTCGTTTGCAAACTACAGCATCAATCAAAACAAAGAAAGTTCCAAAATTTCTTCCCATTACAAGTGATAGATTCCCTGATTGGAGAGTTGGCAAGCTAGCTCCTCCTCATGGATCCAAGTCTTAACTACGAATCTTTGCCGAAAGTTTCAAATTTCAAACCTTTATTTAATTCTGTGTCCTATCACCAACCAATATATGACACGTAAATCAATTTTAATTAACCAACCACTTGTCTATTATTGTTCAAGAGTCAAGATTAATTAAGAGCTTCTCATGTCCGAGGGAAGGGATTTGGTGGCTACCAGTTCTTTGATTCTTCCCGGCTTTGATAAAATCATGCGCTTTTTGCCTCCACATTCTCATTGCCCATTGCAAAACTGTCTCCATGCACCATGAAAGTAGTTGGAAATACAGTCTTTGAACTAAAAAAAAAAAAAACTAGGGATTTCCCATTAACACAAATATTGTAAGTACTTACAGTTCCCAAGAAGGAAAAAAAAATTCAAGTTGAACTTGTAATAGTATCATGGTGTCGTTTTATAGACAACGAGAGTAAAATTACAAGACAGCGTGGAACCACACTAGTTACGTCACAATCGCACACAGAACGCTATGAAAATCCAAGCCAAGAGAAAAGGTTCAGTAGTTTCGACGGAAACTTTAATAAAATAATTTTTTCTTCGTCAATAAATTCAAGCCTTGATTTGCTAATTTTTGAGTATCCAAATTGATAGCGAGGGAAGGGATATCATGCATTTGGGGCAACATTTAACATTTGCTAAAAAGAAAATATTCTAAATTACCTACGATGGCCAAAGGCGAATGGGAACATTCAAACTTCAATTTTAGATTTCATTAAAAATAATTAATTAAGCACCTAATTGACCTATACCTAAATGTCATCTCCCGACCAAACTTGTATTAAATCCCATATCTTTTCTCTTTTCAATATCGTGGATTCAATAACCATCATTGTCTTATAATTATTATCTTCTGTCTTAGCAGATTGAATTTGTCATTTGTCGTTTTGGAAAATCACCCTCTTCCTACCAGAAAGAACCCTTGAACAACTTTGATGCACTGAAATTGGTCGTTTATATCGTCTCCAAGAAAACGTCTTTCGTTTTCTAATTATCGTCCCCACAACCAAAATCCCCCACCAAAAAACTAACAACACATATACTCTTTCAATTAAGCACTATTCCAAGCATAGTATTTAAAGAATTCATATTCTCTCACGTCATAATTATTAAATTTTTATTTTTAGTTTTTATCTAATTAAAATTATTAAATTTAAAATTAATGATTAGATTTAAAACATGATTGGTCTATATATATATATAAACCCCATTAAAAAATAGCTGCAACTCCCTCCCTCCCTCCCTTGCATTTGATCTTTCAATTTTTCAGTTATAAGCCATCGAAAGCAAAACCCTGAACGAAGAGAACGCATTATTAAACAAAACATTATGGCTTTTCTTCGGCTTCTTGTTCAGCTATTCATTTCCTTCATTTTCTTGCAAACCAAACAGTGTTTCTCTTCAAAACAATCACCAATATTATTACCTCTAAGAACCCAAACCCACCATCATATCTCAACACGAAGACTCTTCTCCACCAGTACTTCAAAATCCACAGCCAAGATCTTATTTCATCACAATGTTACCCTCACTGCCTCTCTCACCATTGGTACGCCCCCACAAAACATTACAATGGTTCTTGACACAGGCAGTGAGCTTTCCTGGCTCCATTGCAAAAATGAACCAAACTTCACATCAATTTTTAATCCTCTCGCCTCCAAAACATACACGAAAATCCCCTGCTCTTCAGTAACCTGCAAGACCCGAACCCGTGACCTAACCCTACCCGTTACCTGTGACTCGGCCAACCTCTGCCACTTCGTCCTCTCCTACGCTGATTCCTCCTCTGTCGAAGGCAACCTCGCATTTGAAACTTTCAGGGTCGGATCGTTGGTTGGACCCACTACTGTTTTCGGGTGCATGGATTCGGGTTCTATATCCAATTCAGAGGAAGATGCAAAGACAACCGGGTTAATGGGCATGAACCGTGGGTCATTATCATTTGTGAACCAGATGGGGTTTAGAAAATTTTCGTTTTGCATATCGGGTCTTGACTCGACCGGTATATTGATTCTCGGGGAAGCCAAATACTCGTGGCTTAAACCCTTAAATTACACTCCTTTGGTTCAAATGTCGACCCCATTACCCTATTTTGATCGGGTCGCTTACTCGGTTCAGCTTGAGGGAATAAAGGTAAACAACCAAGTTTTGCGTTTGCCCAAATCTGTGTTTGTACCGGACCACACCGGGGCAGGTCAAACCATGGTCGACTCGGGTACCCAATTCACGTTTTTATTGGGTCCGGTTTATACTGCTTTAAGAGAAGAATTTCTGTTGCAAACTAGAGGGGTTTTAAGAGTTTTAAATGAACCCCATTACGTGTTTCAAGGAGCAATGGATCTCTGTTATTTGATTGACTCAACTTGGGCTACTTTGCCAAATTTACCGGTTGTTAAGTTAATGTTTCGGGGAGCCGAGATGAGTGTATCGGGTGAAAGGTTGTTGTATCGGGTTCCTGGTGAAGTTAGAGGGAAGGATTCAGTGTGGTGCTTTACATTTGGAAACTCTGACAAGTTGGGAATTGAATCATTTTTGATTGGTCACCATCAACAGCAAAATGTTTGGATGGAGTATGATCTTGAAAATTCTAGGATTGGATTTGCCGAGGTTAGGTGTGATCTTGCTAGTCAACGGCTTGGCTATTGATGCCTAAAATTTAGACATAAGTAATCTACTCCCAGTCAGCTCACACGTGAGGCTAATCAAGTCTGCCCTTTTAGCTAAAAACGGCCATTGTTTTCAGCCTTTGATGGACGAGGGCACCCTATTTTAAATACTACATAAAGTTGGATGGGAGTTGCGGGCATCGTAGGGTTGGGGGGTTGCGATTTTGTGATCAATTCATTAGTCCGTGTCCAATCCATGGTTCACCTCGAAGCTCTAGAGGTGGCCCATTGATCGGAAGGTGTCGTTAAGTAATGGAATTTTGGGATTTGGGAGCATCAAATGTAATGTCCAGTAATATTTTTCTGAAAAGTACATAAAATTATTCAACTTACTTTCATTACTTTTATTTGTGATTCTCTGAATCTCTGTTAAATTTGGTGAGATTGTGATAAAATATGGTCAATTTGGTTTAATATTTGGGGGCAGTTGGCCGCCAACACATTTTGCTTTGTTTTGCATTTTTGGCAAGGAGAAATAGTGTACAGAACAAATGACCTCTTTTGGCTATTTTCGAGAGCTGTTTGATTGAGGGTACGGTAGAGATGAGGTGAAAAATCATCAACCTCCATGTCTCTCTCCATCCAACGGCTCTCGTTTTAAGACACTCTTCTGTCTTTTGATCCACACGTACTGCTTGTAATCATAGATGTTTTCAACTTTCTTTGTTTGTGGTTCCTAACTTCTTGGTTTTGAGTTCTTCTGACTACGGATTTCTGAATTTTCTGAGAGCCAGGCTGGCACTGTTAGTCGCTGTATGTGATCCACTTATATATATGTCTAGTCATTCAACATTTTACAATTAGCCCATACAAAAATCTCCTTAAAAAACAAAACATTCTTTCTTAAATTAATTTACATGACTGCCCTTTGCCAATCTTTATTTTATAGTTTTGCATGAAATAGATCAGAAGGGTTTGTGTTTGTGTGTGTGTGTATACATATATAAAAGAAGTAAATTTCATTTTGTTTTTATGGTCAGGGAGATCAGCTCGATGAGATAGATAAATACGTCAGGGATGTTGTTTTTATGGTCCTGAATGTATTCAGGCAAATTGAGTTCATATTGGCCTCGTTCTTTCAGGCTAGGAAAGTTGACTTGAAGTGGCAAAACCACCCGCATTCATTAACCCGCCTATGCCCATCTATTTTAAAAGGCTATGGGTTTTAAAGTGGTCAATACAAAATTTAAATGGATCATTATCGGATTGACCTAAAAATATTCCCAGTTAAATGGGTTGGGTTGGGATTGCGTACGAATTGCTCATTGGACCCAAGTAAAAATATGTGCCGATAAAGTGAAATATTCGAAAATGTTCGCTTTGGTCTCTGAAAGTTTTGAAGAAAAAATTTACTCACTAAAAATTATTTTTCTTACGAGGTAGTCTTTATTAAGAATATTTGTGGTCCTCGAAATTTTCATAATCACAACTTAGTCCATGGTAGAAATGTTTTTATTAATTGCATCCTTGGATGTAAATTGGTCAAAATTAATCAAATAATTTAAATGGGTAGATAGGTAAGGTTAAGATTGCGCAGGTTTAAGTGAGTATGAATGCCTATTTAAAAAATAAACGAATCATAAATAGAATAGGTAAAACAAGAACCATATCCATTCCGATCCAATCCATACTCACACATTTGTTATCTTGAGTTCAAATTAGCTACATTTTTCAAACTGGTCTCTATATTCGATTAAATTGAAAAAATAACAAAAAAAGCTAAAAGATGAACTAAATTTCAACAAATTAAAAATTCAAACATCCAAAAAACAAAATTTAAAAGTCAAGGATTTAATTTTAAATAATTTAAAATTGCTTTTGATTTAATATGTTTAAATATCGACATAAATTTCATTCAATATCTATTAAAATAGGTCACAAAGAAACAAATATTTAAATCAATTTCTTTTTTGCTTGGACTAACTCTGTGTATCAATATTAAGTCAATGTATCCAGTTTAAAAAAAAAAAAAAAACATGCTATCTACAACGAAACTAAAGGATTCATGATATATTTTTTTCTTGAAATCTAACCTGGACATTGACTCAGGGTCACTGTAAAAAAAAGCACAATTATTTAACCACTAAGACTCTAGCTTTATTTTAACAAAAGAAAAAATCATGAAATGTTTTTTCGAAAAATAAATGGTAAATAATCTTTTATTTCAGCATAATGACGGATGCTAGATTCGTAATAAGCCAATAAGCATTCGGTTAAGTTAATATGTTGAAAAAATTAGACTGGAAGTAATATTTAATGTACGGCGTTGGTTATAAACTAGTCCTAATTGTTCAACAAAACTAAATAATTAACCCTTCTAGTTTTAAACATTATACATTTAATCATCGTATGTTTCATCCATTTATAATGCAGTGTTTTTTTTTCCAATTTCATTTTCCTTTTTTCGAAAAACTATAAAAGAAAAGAGATATAAGTGAGATGAGAAAACTTGATCAGGAAAAAAAAGGTAATCTGTGGAGCGAAAATATTCTAAATAAAAGAGGATCATGTCGGTAAAGAGATTATTTAATTATTTTGATACTATATGGATAGTTAATTAGTTCTGATAAAGTATAGCAACTGAGTTATAATTAATTATAATACCTATTAATCTTATTTGAGATTTCTAATAAAAATATTATTCAATCTACTGTATGTTTTGTTATTCTCATCGATTTTTTATTATAAATTATTAATAAATTCTTATATCTGATTATCATTTGATTATTAATTTAATGTGATAGTGATGTGTTGATAATTTATAAAAAAAACATTGATGAAAATAATAAATTACATGATAGATTTACCGATTGTGTATTTTAATCATTAACTATTTTGATAACAACCACGCCAAAGGCATTTTCCATTGTTCACTTAGAAAACGAGAGCACGTTAGCTATTGAAGTGTCTAGAATTTCGTCTAGAGCAGAAAAATAAATTGCCTCCTTTTTTATATATAATTTAAATCGAAACAATTTAATGCTGCCGTTCACCTTTTTTGTTGCGCAACAAGATGGCAGCAGAAAATTCAAACAACACAGGGAAAATATAAATAAATTCATTTTCGAAAAGTAAACGATAAATAAATTCTATCGTTTATATCTCATAACGATCGTTTATCTTTTTATTTCTATTTATATAAAATATTTTTTTACTCAAAATTTTAATTTTTATTGGTTGATTAATTTTGATAACTAACAATTTTTTTAAAAAGTGAAAATATATATATATAAAATATTAATATGCCATAATTAATAACCTTTTTCATATAAAAAGTTAAAAACCAAAAACAATATTTTTAGGATACGGGAGAACCATATTTTTGTTCGATGATAGATTTAGTCTCGAGGGTTTTTTTTTCTCTCTCTATTAAAAATAAGATTACAAATATGAAATTCAGTTAATATATATATATATATATATATGTTCATGAAGCAAAAAATAAATTCATTTTCTAAAAGTAAAGAGTCAATAAGCTTTTATTCGAAAAACAATATTACAAATATGAAATAGTAATTTTGTTTGAATTTATAAAATGTTTTACAAAAGAGAAAAAATTAGATGTTAAAAAAATCACGAAATGTTTTTAAAGAAAACCAAAACAAAAGAAAAAACCACATAGTTTGTTGAATATACAAAGAGAATAATATAAGTAATAGAATCAAATATGAAATTTCTGGAAGGTAAATTATAAAAGTGAATCTAAAAGATGATAAGAGAAATTATTGTCTTTAAAAAAATGAACACAAAATACTCATCCTGCCGAAACGCCCAAAGAAACATAAAACATGGAAAGCATAGTCGTAAAAGCACAAAACCGACGTCGGTTGTCTATCATTACAAACAAGTAATAATGTACGCAGTAGTGAAATAACGAATGGAACTGACTATTTGGAGTCGACAAAGCTTCCATTACAAATAAATGAAAGCGTTGGTTTTAGGCAACGAAACAAAAGGAAACGCCTAAAACCAACCAATTCATCGTTTGTCCCTTAGATCGCTATCATATCCATCGTCGTTTTATCCAATCTGTAAGCATTTCATTTCTCCTCTGTAAATTAATTGATTTACTTAGGGATTTAAAAACTGAAACCCTAAATTACTGTTTATTATCTTTCTAATTGCAGATTGATGGAATCCACACGCATTTATTGAATTTGACTGACGAAGCTGCTATTATTATTAAAAAAGAAACGTTGATTATATGCTAATTAAGACAGAAAGAAAACAAGAATGAGTTTTGTTTTCCGAGGAACTCGAGCTGATATCGAAAATGGCTTCCCTGGTTTTGTCCCTGAACGCCGGGCACTGGTAATAATATTAATAATGTTATTAATGTCGCTAATTTATTTATATGTTTCTCGTTAATTATAATTTGTTTGTTCATTCGTGAGGAAAAAAATAACATTAATTTATGTTTTTTCTTTTTTGGTCAATTGATAATAATCAGCGTCTTCATGCAACCCGGCCTGTTAATTCCAATTCACTTGTTTTTCTTGTCACAGGTAACTTTAAATTCATTAAAAAAAAAAAAACAGAAGAAGAAAAAGCGTGCTTATTGTTTATTCATATTTATTGTTTCTTTTTTCAAGTTCCTTTTGCTAGATTTTAATTTTTAATTTTTTTAATTGTTGGTTTTGGCAGTTCTCTTGCTATTCATGGTATTGAACTCGCACCAAATGTCACCTAATTTCCTGGTATTTTTTCCTTTTCAACTGAATATAGAAATGTAGAAATTCTTTCTTTATCTGTAACGAAGAGGTTTGAGTTGTTTTGATTAATGATGTCTTTTTTTTTTTTTTTTTTTGGTTGGATGCAGCTTTGGCTAGTGCTTGGTGTATTTTTGATGGCGACTACCTTGAGGATGTATGCGACTTGTCAACAACTTCAAGCTCAGGCACAAGCCCATGCTGCAATGGCCAGTGGTCTTCTTGGTCATACTGAGCTGCGGTTGCATATGCCACCATCTATAGGGCTTGCTACTAGAGGGCGTTTGCAAGGACTCAGGCTTCAGCTTGCGCTTCTTGATCGAGAATTTGATGACCTAGGTGTGTATTTGTGGTCGTATTGTGCATTATGAGTTACAATGAGTGATATTCAGTTTATTCAAAAGATAAAATACGTTGTTTAGTTTTCTTTTACTTTTGTTCTTTGCTTGTTAATTTTGTTTGCCTTCTGAATAGGATTGTTCATGTAGGGTTTGTTGCTTGTATGCAGACTATGAGACTTTGAGAGCACTGGATGGTGATAATGTTCCCAGTGGCACTTCAATGAGTGAGGAAGAGATAAATGCCCTTCCAGTTCACAAGTACAAGGTCACTGCTCCTCTAAAGTAAGTGTTGAGGCTTTATTTGGCTTGTGTGTATTTTAGAAGTGCTTTTATGCATGCAGTGACAGAGGAGTTTTCTTAGGCATTTGGCCAGTTTGGTTGCGGTGTATGCATTCTTGCCATACTCAAGGAATCATATTGTCTGTTTTGTTTTGATATAAACGGCCTGATTGTAGGGCTGGGGCAGTTAATGAAAAAAAAAATAAAAAAAAATTGGAGATCTCCACAAGCTTTTCAAATTTCTTTGTTGATTAGGAATATGTAAATATCTTAAAACCAGTCTGAATGAATGAGCGACCCTAATGATTCCAAGGGCAAAAAAGTTAGAGCCTCCCCTCTCTCACATCTTCCCATAATATTCCCTGACATCAGGTCCTGGATAGCTATTTTATCAAAATAAAAAATGATCAGACACTTCTGTTCAATGCCAACAGAAAGATGATTTTCAGATCTTTTTGAAAAGAAAAAAAGTCTGAATCAACAACATATGTATTTGTTCCATAGCTATCCTACTGATTTCCTTTTCTCCCTTCATATCATTTGGTTTCTTTGGGTTTTGATGTCTTGATAACAAGCTGGTTTTTGTTGACAGTGGTGCCTCTTCAATGCAGCAAGCCTCTTCTTCTGTCTCGGTGGAGGTACAAGCTTTTGTTTCGTGTCAATTATTATTATTATTATTTTATTTTTATGTCTAGGTAAGTCAGAACTTTAGGTTCAGTAAAATTTGTATCGTACACATTGAGATGTGCAAATTTGGTTTGCATTCTATTGCCTTGTCATTTAACAATTAGTTTGCTTTACTTGTGGTCTATCAATGCACATTCACCAGCTGTGTCTTTGTAAAACTTTTGTGCCGTGAAGCTTCTTACTTACTGTTATAGTGGTATTTTTAATTTATAGATGTTTGGGGAAAAAAGTAATTAATTTACCATTTTAATGGTCTAGAACTGGCTTCAAACAATTATTGCTTGTCTAATGTGCATTTTCTAGTTTTCTTCAAACAATCAACTTTTGAAAATTTTTTGTATGAGCAACCGTGTCAGGCCTGTGTAACTCTATCTTTGAGAGTAACTGAACACAGTATATAATGCTACATGTGCAACTGGGAATAGCTGTAGTATTTTGCTGACCACTTTTTGTTACATCAAGCTTAATTGTATCTTCTTCTTTTCATTTTAGCCTTCATCAGTGCAGCTAATCAGCCATTATTTCATTCTTCTCTGTAGCAAAAGAAGCAAGATACAGGCAATGCTATTGGGAGCATGCACTCTTCGGATGATGGGCTAACTTGCAGTGTGTGCTTGGAGCAAGTTATCATGGGAGAAGTGATCCGTACCTTGCCATGTTTACATCAGGTTCAGACTTTTCTTGCAGTTAAACTTTGCAGCACCCTTTTGTTTTATTAACTGTGTATCAACCATAGTACGACACATTCTTGAGGTCCCCCAATTGAGTGCTTTAACAAGACCACTGTGCATTCTTTTATGCCATTTGGTCTCTAACTCGCTTCCTTGGACAGTCAGAAACTCAGTTCAAAGTTGCCGATACTAAGAACTAGTGACTTGCTGAAACAGTTTCTCTGCATCTGCTATGTTGCAGTTATTTTAGTACTCCTTTTTAACTATCCGTCTCTTTGGGTGAAATAATCCCAAATTGATTGATAAAAAAATTGAATATTCTGCATATGCAAAACAGTTATCTTCAATGGCTTTGCATTTTACAGTATAAGGTTTGAGACCTCATGCTAGAAAATGTTTTCATATTGCAGTTCCATGCGAATTGCATTGATCCATGGCTACGGCAGCAGGGAACATGCCCTGTCTGTAAATATAGGGCAGGATGTGGGTGGAATGGCAATGGACAAGGTGGACTCGATGCTTCTTACATGGTTTAGTTACAAGAACTGGCCTATAGTTTGATGAATTTATATACTAAATATACTGCATATATGAGCTCATTGATGAAGATGGGAGGTCTAATTTATAGACTGCAGCTTAGCGTTGGTGTAACACTTGATTTAACATTCTAAAAATCAAGTTTCCTGTATGATCGATTACATAAATACAAGTTATAACACAGTATTCCAGAAGCTCAGAATGGTAACTATGTTCTATTATGGTATCAACCGTTCAATGTGGGATCTATGAAAATATTAGATGAGAAAATCTTCTTTCAGAGCCGAAGGATGCAAATTTAAGCCTTTATTTTCAAAAGTCATGCTTTGAAATCTGTAGAAGGCGGCATTAGTTTCTCAGCTTTCTGCATAGTGGTAGCATCTATGATGCATTCAGAACGCCACAAGAGACTTCTTCACAGGAAGACTTGAAATTGACTTCGAAGTTTCAGTTTAAATCTAGCAAAGGGTGGGAATTGAAGGACAGAGAAAGAAGGGGGTGGGCAATCTTGATTTGAAAGAAACTAAAGTAAAAGGTTGAGGCGGCTGTAGATTCTTATTTCTGTATTAGGCTTTTAAAAGGTGGGACATTGTTTACATGCGGAAAATGGTAGTGTATTTGGTTATTAAAGGGTGGGTTATTATTTGCATGCTGAACGAAAAGGAAACTAAATAGGCGAGCCAGTCAACCAGAGCCTAAAATTTATGAAACCGTGTCTGGCACAAATTGAGATCGGGGCTTGGGCTGTTGCCTAAAATCCAGATCTTCGAAAGCTGAAATGTTACAATAATAATCTTCACAGCAACCACGCTTATCACGAACAATTTTCTACAAGACACAACACACAAGCAGTTGTCGAATAACAAGCCTAATCAAGTACGGCACACATCATTAAAAAATAGATTCCTTTGGAAAGCGCAGGCGCCATAACATGTGCTCACCATCTGTTCTTATAAAGGAAGAAGCAAGTTCCGACTCTCTAGCCTTGCCTCATCCAAAAATATAACTCAGTTCGTCATCTGACGTGAGAGAGGACTCGGACTTCACTCTATATTAGGGGCATGATTTCCCCCACCATCAAAATCTTGACGACACTGAATTCATGACAGAAAGGCTAAGGTTAATGACCACCCAAAAGGTCCTTCGTATCACAATACGTTCAAGTCAATAAGCACACAAGAAACTGTTTGCTGCTTACATCCACTCATAGAATATTTTTTCTTCATGAAGTTAAACAGTGACAGAGACCTATTTTGCTTTCCCCTTTCCCTTCCCTTGACCCTTCTTCGATTCCAGCTTGGCCTGCATGCGAGCAGCAGCAGCAGCTTTAGCTTCTTCTCTCCTCTTCTTCTCTTCCTCTTTAGCTGCAGCAGCGAGCTCCCTTTGCTTCTTCAGCTCCCTGATTCAACATTCAAACATGTTACATAAAGCCATTTTATTACTTGTCAATGTGGAAAAATCCAAGAAAAAAAAATCGGTAGATTGATTTATTTCAGATGTCAAGAAGTATAACTTACTCTAGCCTAGCCCTCTCTTCTGAAACACTGGTTACACTGGAACCCTTCCGTGGTTTGCAGTCCACTAACTCCACCTCAAAAATAAGAGTTGCGCTGTTTAAAGCCCACAAATATTTGATTAACAAAGTTCCAGACACACATTTTTATGATAGAGCAAAGACAATAACCAAGAGCGTGCTAAGATTTTAAAGCAAATCAACGATGACCAACAAATGGTCATGTACAAACTAGTGTATTGGATTATTTCTGTCATACAGGTCTTCATTTTCAATTCAAATAATTTAGATCTTTGATCCACAAAATTAGATGAATTGCAAAGTTAAGTACAACAAAATTGGACAGGATTCTTGTATGTCTCTAATAATAGTTGGACCAGCATGCTTGCTGGGCGAATGAAACAGAGCAGTCTTCCTCTGTATCTCAAATCATTGTTGGCTCATGTTTAGTGCTGATGGCAACCGGTGGTCGATAAGGATTCAAATGAGGATGCTCAAAAGCCGGGGGTCAAAATTGTGGTGGTGGTGGAGGGTGATTCTATGAAAAATGCCAATGACCAATGGTTGTAATGCGAGATTAAATAAAAGAATGCTTCAGTGTTTGCAATGAGTTAAAGCATGAAAAAGTCCCTATACAATAGCGATTAGATTCACTATGTCCCTCTACTATTATTTTGATTTATTACGTCCCTCTGTTCTATTTTATTAGCTTTGTGTGTCATTCAGTTAAGTAGCACCCTAACCATGGTTGGTGATGGACATGTGTCATTCACCCAAGTTGCCACATTTCTAAATTTGAATTCCAATTTTTTTTTCTTGTTTTTCACTGTCAAGTAACAAAAAACATGGTTTAATGTGTTGATGAAGGATCATCTCCTTCGCACCCAATCAAGCCATGTTATTGCTGTTTAAACAGATCAAAACCTATAAATACAACAAACTGATCCACCATTCTACCATCAATAACCGAAGAGCAAATTGAAGCAACCACAAACAAAACTACAAATGAAAGGCTGAAAAATCCAATTTCACGAACAAATTCAAGAAACCAAACCATTATTTCAATTTTCAAAAACCCCAGGCACAACTTGAACCACTGCCACCTTTCAATATCAACACCCGAAATCGATTCAACCTAAGCTACCACCAGCACAACCTAAGCCCCCACCACCAAATAAATCACCATAATAGGCAGTTGTTAGGCAAGAGAAAGATAGATTATGATTAAAGAGAAGGATTCAGATTTGGATTTTAGAAGGATGGACTTTATGTGGGTTTTTCAAATCCATGAGATATGGCGATTTGTTTAGGGATTTCAATAGTGGTTGGCGGTGATTCTGGGTTTGTTTGATTTTGGTGATTCTTGATTTGTATTTATATGCTATTATTATATGATAAAGGTGTTGTGCAGATAGTAGAAGTTTTGAAATTTTTTTTAATATTTTGTGATTTGACTCTAAAAAAATGATATTCAAAATTTGACATGCAGCAACCTGATTGAATGCCACGTATACAGCACAAACCATGGTTAGTATAATAAGCTAAGAAAATATAGTAGAAGAACATAATAAACCAAACTAACAGTAGAGGAACATAGTGAATCAATATATAGTACAGAGACATTTTCATGCTTTAACTTGTTTGCAAACGCTTTAGTTAACTAAAACTAACACAGTAAAACAAATAATTAGGCAATGCTTTTGGAAACACAAAACTCCAATAATATTTGTTTCATTTCCCATTGATATTTCTTAGGCCATTGATTTTGAGTAAGGATATTACTAATTCGTGGGCATCACATTTTTTATATTTAACAAGTCTTGGTATCAGATAAGTGATTGTAAACAACAAATTGAAATATGAATCTACAATGACATACTCAGGTGGGATATCTGGTGGGGAACCCGCACTGCCATACGCATATTCTGGTTTGCAAGTGATTTTTGCAACCTCCCCAACCTGGTATAACCAAAGAACGTGTTACAATACAGGTAACAACATCACAACACACTTGAAATGAGAGAGCATGTTTTGACCTTCATGGTTTTCACTGCAATCTCCCATGCCTGAATCACCGAGCCCTTCCCAAGTTCAAATGAGAACACAGTATTATCCTCATGTGTCGTATCAAAAACCTCTCCCGTCTCCACAAGAGTACCCTCGTATTGAACTGTTAAAGAGCATGAATTCATATTTTATCTGGAATACCAACTGGTTAGTTAATATTACTAATTTGTCACAAAAGCATACCATACCATCAACAAGAGGGAGATCCTCTGAAGGACAAAGCGCATCAGCTTTTGCTTTCCTCAAGATTGTCTTGAGGACACCTCCATCCCCGGATAAATCAATTGAATCACCCATGGTTCCTCAATAGCCTGAACCATCCAATTAAATCAGATAAACGCTAATTAACAGTTATTATTAATACCATTAAACAAAAATCAAACACAAAAAATTCAGGACAATCGGGACCAAAACCCTAGGGTTTTAATTACTAATCAAAAAATCAACACCACTTCATTTTGCCTCGCATTTCTTTATTAATAAACAGAAACAGGTGATCAAATGCATAATAATCGAACGGCAGTACAAATTTCACTGTAAAAAAAAAAAAAAAGCAAATTAAATAGAAAAAACTGCAACACATGTAAAATTTTACAATTAGAGGATAATTTTTTATTTTTTTTTATTTTAGTGAACTGACTTGTTCGGTGAGAGAGCAGAGAATCCGAGAAGAAACGGAGAAATCGGATACGATTTATCGGAGAAAATGGCGTGGATATCGGTGGCCATAAGCGTCTTGGTGAGATCTTTCCTTGGAACCGCGTACCTGGTTTTTTATGTGTGAAGAAACGAATATTCTACGCGTGAAAATTAAGTGTGGGCTTGCAGCCCGATCCACATATTAAATTGGAGACATGGGGTTTTCGGTTATTTTGGGCCCTCTTCATTGTAGGATTGGGTGTTTTGGGCTCCGTTTGCTTCTGTGTTGGAATGTTGGTTCGAGTTTTTAGTTTTGTTGAGTTAATCAGTACTCCCAGGCTCCACCAGTAATCTACAATTTAACTCTTTTTTTGAGCTTTTTTACGACGACATTATTATTATTATTTTTTTTTATGAACTCAAGGAAAATTTTTATGTCGAATGTAGAATAATTCATCACATTTAAGAGAGTTTATTAGCTTCTTCTTCTTCTTCTTCTTCTTCTTCTTCTTCTTTTTGTAAAATATTTTGTTAAAAATTTAAATGGTTGAATTCTGTTAGGATTTATTTAATGACAATGGGAGTCAACTCAATGATTATGATTAAAAACTCCGAATCACCCACTTTGTTGTCATTTTAAAGGCTTTTTTTCGTACTAAATTTTGGATTATCAAAATGTATAGTCAATTTCTTGAATTATTAGACTTCACCTGTTATGTCATCTATATATAGGTTGGTTAAAATTCCATATCTGGCCACGATGTGACTCGATTTCTAACCAATCTAAGGCGGGAAACCTGATAAAAAACTGTTGGGACTTTCGGTATTACAGCTTCAAAATATGGTTTTAAAAAAGTTTACAAAACAGATCTGTTTAGAAAGCATGATTTTATTTTGGCATTCTCATTTTCCATACCATGGAATATAGTTTCAAATCAGTAATAAATAAATGCCTTATATATCGTAGAATATTACCAAAACTGTGGCCATGGCCTTGGCTGGGAAAGAGGGAAGAGATCTCAATGGAAAAGGAAGAAAAAGGTTATGGTCAAACTTTAGGTGATAACACAATCCAAAATGCAATGTCACTCAGAAAGTGGTCCAAGATCCCAAAAACTGAGCACGAACCAAAAATTAATTTCAGAAACTCAACATTTAATGCTTCGTGGGGGTGTAATAAAAGATGCGTATGTAGATACCATGTCCATGTAATCGGAGATGAGGAACTCAAGGAGGGGTCCCTACTCCCTACCCTTCAATAATTGCTCCAACCTAGAATTCCTACCTATCCAAATTACCAATCGAAAACAAGATCTCATCTGACTAAAGAGTAACATTATTGGGGCCCACCTAATATAAAACTAACTCCCTCGTGATCGTGGGTCCCATCTTGCCATTTTGACAATCGGTCCAAAAAGGACTGTGACCACTTTGTTGCTTCCTTACTGCCTATATTTTCATGCAAATACTAGATAGCTCAACGTTTTGAATATTTATTTCCAGGCGTTTGATCAGATTACTCACCCTTGCGTGTCCATGATGTGATCGTTGACCATACAGGGACCTGGAGTGCGGCTTTTGAAGAATCCGTGGGTCAAGGATTAGCAATGGGCCCACCAACAGTTTAGACTTTCTGAACAAAGTTTCGGGCTTTTCTTGCATAGCCCACAATAAACAGTTTTTTTTTTTTCTTATTCTTCCCAAAATTAACGAGGGAATGGCCTCACGATTGTTGCCTTAAAAATTTTTAGTTTTAAAAGGATATAGAGCTCCATTATGGACCATAATTTTTTGGTTGCAGTTATGGACCATGCATTCATGTAAAAAGCCATTTATCTTAGTTTACCCTTTTCTTTTGGGTTCATCTCCATCCAATCCATAAAAATTTATAATTAGGAGGAAATCGCTATTCTATTGCAACGATGATCTGCAGCTGGAAAAAAAATAGTTTGAAGCCTAACAAATGTTATTTTACCACAAATAATAATTCAATTTTTTTTATGATCTTATTATAGCAAGAAAAATAATAAATAACAAGAAAAAACAGCTAAAAAGAACTTCCAAAAAGATTGTGAGTCATGGATCATGGTTTTAATATGGAATTTCCAATGGCGGATCTGAATAAATTTTAAGAAATCATATGTATTATTGCATTATTTTCTTGATATTTATTTATCATATCATTTCCAGCTATAATAATAAGATCAAAAGAAAAGTAACTTTTAAAAGGATATCATTTTCTTTAGATAGTTACTGTTTATATCACCATTAAAAGTTATTGGTAGAATGAGAAGAAGAATACTTTTTACTCATTAGATTATGAGTTTGATTTTTATTTAAAAAAAATTTCTATTTCTTTTGTAAAGCATTAGATATCTGTTGGTAGTCAAAAAATCTCGCTTTACTCAAAAGAATTGGCTTGAACAAAATAAGTTTTAATCATTTCAATAACTAGTTTGGAGTTCAAATTCTTATATACACAAAACTTTCTATGTAGTTATATCTATTTTGTACGTTCAATCGAATAGTGAAGGATTAATCTGAATAAAAAAATTCAATTTTTAAAATCAACCGAAAACTAGTCATGATTGGATGCTGATCTAATTCCAAAAAATAGATAGAAAAAAAAATTACAGCTAATATCAAATAGAGAATCATTCTGCAACATTTCCTCTCTTTTTTTCTTCTTCTTTTTCTTTTTCTTTTTCTTTTTTTGTCACCTGTCTTCACTTGCTAGAAAAATTGTACCCTTGGAGGGAAAAAATATTTGTTTTGGCTAAAATGTTCTTAAATGTTTACAAACTATAAATAGTGTTTGACGTTATGTATCTCTTAGTTATTTATCCCAAAGTATGATTCTTACTATTGTTGTCCAATCAAAATATGTTGCAGTATTAACTATTTATTTGCATCTCATTTTTGGTATACAAAATTTACTAGATAAAACAAAAAAATAAATGCATGTACATAAACTTATAGTGGACGTGCAATAATTTCAAACATCCTTCGAAATAATGAAGATAAAGAAAGGATATGGGTGTGCATCTTGGATATAAACCCATTCTACTTTTTTATTTTTTATTTTTAATGAAAGACTCCTAGACAATATAAACCGTTAGGGTAAATAATGGAAGCAATTCTTTCTTATTATACATTAATCGAATAAACATGATTTATGGAGACTCGCATCTTATTTACTTCCACCCAAAAAAAAAAAAAGTAATTGGATACACGATTAATATATTAAATCGGAAGCATGTAATTTATCTCCTCTTTGAAACGTAAATAAAAAATGGTGAACTAAATTATAGGAATTTTCAAAATATAATTTACGCCGAAAAGGAGGTTGAAAAATTCAATTGAGGCGGCTGTAAATTATAGATATGGATCAGGTCGAGAACAGGATATGATGAAAAGTTGGCTAATGGAGCTCGCAAAGTCTCAAATTAAGATTACAGGAATCGATTTGCAATCATAATTGGAAATTTTGTGTGTCCCCAAAGAGATTGAATCTCAACCTTTTCAACGTTTTAGTACAGAAATTGATCAACTCTTATTACAACTGTCAAATAATTTTTGTACCAAGAATCAAATTATTCTATCATATGGGTGGGATGACTTGGATTGGCCAAATTAGGGAAGTTGTGGAAAACTATTTTTTATTCATTACGCATGAGCAGAAATACGCATGCTAAAAATTTATTTATAAAATATTTTATACAAAACAAGGGCCCTCTTATTCTCAATATTGGACAATATTTTTGCATAATATTGGATTAAATCACTCAAGCTAAATGCTGGTGGTAATAATAGCAATAATTATAGCAACTCTACAAATTTGCAAAAAAAAAAAAAAAAGAAGGTAATATATGGAATGGAAAATGAATAAATTGTTGGGAAACGAATCTAATAGAAAATAAAATAAAAAAACAATAACAATTACATCATACAAGATTTGCTCGACAATATATTTACTCTATAGTTGTTGTATTATGAGTTCTTATTAAATATTTTTTAATTAATGAATTATGTATAATATATTAAATCACAGGATACTTTTACATCAATCTTTACAACTTAACACCAATTACATATGAAAAAAAAAAAAGACTATCAAGATTTTTATGACCCAAGTCAAAAGTGGGTTAGGATTTGTGGGGGTGAATATGTTTCCTTTTTCTACATGAGCTATATTATGTCTAGGTCACCTCTCTAATAAAGTTAGGGAAGGAGATCATCGTAACTCTGTTTTCTTTTTGTTTTTTATGTCTCCTTTGGCACGCCAAGCTAAATTCCAATGATTAATATTGAAACCTGATTTTGTTATGGAAGTGACGCTAGTCTGATTGCTTAGAAAGTGCATATAAAGAAGAAATGATAGAGGAAAGCAAAGTTTTTGTTTGACCCTAATGAACAAATAAGACCAGAGAAAAGAAGAGAGAATGGAAAAATAATAAAGAAACCTTGTCGTAACCCGCGATTTGGAAAGTGGAGTGCTATTAGGGAAAGCAGACCATATTCACGCTTCGGATTTCCGGCGCACTAAGGCTTTGTTTGTTTGACAGGAAAAAAACAATTTTTAATAGAAAAACTAATTATGAAGAAATTATTTTTTAGAAAGTTATTTTTTAATTTTTTTTTGACATTTGGTAATTACATAAAAAACTATTAAAAAATATATTTAAGTATTTATTTGATACAGAAAACCGAAATAAAAAAATAGACTATGATTGTTACATCAACAAGTTTTGATAAAACTTTAACAAAGTATATTTATAATTTCACAATATAAAATGCATTTAGAAAAAAATATTATTTTTTTATAAATATTGACTCTAAAATTTAAATTCAAAAATAAATAAAATTTAACCATCAAACCAATTCATCAAAACTATTTTGGATAAAATCAAGTCAATATTCACATTTAGTAAAAACAATTCTAAATAATCCTAGCGTTGTTATTTTGGTAACTCAATTAAGAATTTTTTTTGAAAATTGAACTGATAATTTAGTTCAAAAAATAGTTTTACAAATTATTATTTATCATTTGTAGATACTTATTTATTTGGTTTCAAAAGATTAATGTTGGAATAATTTATAACTAATTATTTGTTAAAATTACCAATAAAATTTTACGACTAATTAAAATTAGTCACAAATTATAGATTTAGTTGCAAATGAATAGTATTGAAAAAATGATGTATTTATTAATGAATTAATTAGTTTCAAATTGTTTACAATGATTGCAGTCTTGTAATAAACATTTTCAATTATTTAAGTGTAGTTTAAGTGGTGTTTAGGGTAACGGTAAAAAAATAAAGATGAATAATTGAAATATTTATTACAAAAATAATTTTAAGATATAAAAATGATTTTTAAGAATATTTAATATATTTATAAATCGAAAAATCAAATGTTAGTAGAAATAGAGAAAATAATTAATAATTAATTTGATATATTTTAAATAAAAAGGAGAGACAGAAAAAAATTATTAAAATATATCAAGAAAGAGGCGAGTAACGTGAGAGCAAGATAACTCGTGAGAGAGAGAAAATGTTTTCTTCTTTTTTAACTCGAAAAACACTTTTCTGAAACATACTCTATCATTTTCTGTTGATTTTTTTTTTTAATGCAAAAAAAATATCGAAAAATAGAAAAAAAAACAAATTGCTAAAATTTATTTTATCTCAAACAAACAGAGCCTAACACGTACTCCAATTTCCTATACTTTCATTTAATTCCAACTAGTAAACCGTTCTTAAATGTTTATAGTCTGTTTTTGTTTTCTTGTGATGTTATTCTCGGTACAGTATTTGTTGCGTGCATACACAGATGTAACTTTATTTAATGTGTTTTTTAATTAATTAATCTTCTGATCAATATCAAAATAAAAAAAAAAAGCGTTTATCTATTACATTTTTGGTAATAAAGGAAGATTATACAAGAAGAAAAGTAAATTATGTGAGCATATTAGCTAACCGTTCTTTTCTTTTTTCTTTTTTCTTTTTGCAAACTCAGAATTAATTAAGTCGGTAGTTATAAAGTAGCCACTTCATAAATCATGACGCTAAATGTTGTGGTTCCAAAACTCATATACTATAGATCAAAAAATATTACTAATATCTCATTACTCTGTTTTTTTTTTTTTAATCGATTTTAAGGAAGGTTATTTTTAAAAATCTGAAATTAAAGAGTTGTGAGTCATTAAGAAATACATCATTAAAGTTGTATCCTATAGATCTTAGATAAAAAAAAAAAAAATTGAGTTCCATTTTTGCCCCTCAGTGGCTAAAAAAAGATCTGGGATTGTGATTCATAGATAATCATACCCATACCCAAGTTTCTGTACATTTTGTAACAAGGGAAATGGTTTCTAGAATCATAAATCATTTTAAAACTTCATATAAACTTGACATATCATCGACATCGAAAATAATAAATAACCAGTCAATTATAAAAAATGTAACTATCACGTCAATTTATATAAGAATGTATACGATTTGTTTATTTGGATATTCTTATAGCAATAATAGATGTGAACAAATGTTGCATTACATAAAGTACATTTGAACTTGACTAGTAAAATTGTTTGGCATTTTACCTGCGTCGAGTTCGATTTTCTCACAATCCAAACGGACCTCGGTCAAAGATCCATCCACTACGCGAAGATGATGAGATGATTAGCATATTAGTAGAATATATAGTAGTAATAAAAATGCCCTAATCAATTATATTTCTAAATGGTAAAAAAATTATAGAACAATCTGGGATATATAGTTAGATTTATGAAACCAACATCAAATCAATAACCAGATGTGGCACACAGAAAGGAAATGGGAAGGAATATTAACATTGACATATGAGTTACGAAAGGGAAAGCTGAGAGACATTTGCTACGTGAATTGTGAACCGTGAAGGATGCGAATATGTGAACCCATGTGTAGATCGATTGGTGCATTGTCAGCAATGAAGCCAACTTTCCATTTCCAACGCAACTACTGTACTACTGTTGCTCTGTAAATTATTATATTATACTCAGTCCTGTAAAGAAAATTATGTAATTTCCGATCTGTATTACACGCCAAAAAGCTTGAATTCTTAACTCTGTGCTTCCTTATTTTAGCATTTGAAGCTTTATGATTTCCAAAGGTTTCCATTTTACAACGAGTAGTCAGAACCCATGATCATGATGATAACACCACGCCACGCACCCACAGTATCAACCAACAGTGAAGGGAAGGGGGAGCCCAGCTGCAAATGATTTTCCCCAGACAGAAATACCCCTAAATTACAGGTTAATTTACCTTACACATGCCTCGGAGATTTTCACTCCTATCCATTTACATTCACTGATGTTCACGGGAAAAGTACAAAAACAACCCTGAATAGTATAATCAGTCAAAGTGGTCCAGACTGGGGTCAATGGCCCAAGATTGCAGGATATTATCGTCATTTGGAACCTTATACTGGACATCGTAATTCGCGCCCATTAACTTCTCTAGCTGTGACAATGAGCCCTATTAGTAGAAATGACAGTAGGTAAGTAAGCAGGATCTTTAATTTCTTCAAAATCAAGCTTTAATGGCTTCTGTAGCAGTTAATGTGGAAAAATAATTTGAAGAAAAGGGCATCTCTTTTGCACTCTTTTTGGGCCCTTGAAAGGACCTACTAAACAGACTCTCTCTCCCACGTTGATCCATCTTCTTACCGAGATGACTATCATTATTTTATTAATTATCAACATCCATGATAGCATTAAAAATTCAAAAAATGAAATAAAAATAATAACCAATGCAGCCAAGCACGCCAGATCCACACAGACGCACCTGCAATAGCTGCAATGGTTGAATGGAATCTCTCTGTCTCTCACAAAGTCCAGAGAGAGAAGAAACTAGAGTGATGTGAGATCACACCCATAGCTTCAATCATTAAGACAAAGAAAACCCAGAAATTAAAACAGAAACAAAAGACATAGTGAAGAACATGTGAGAATTATGTTTGAACGATCGCTCTATCATATTAATCTCTAACACTGATAAAAGTAACACTAACATTAAGAACCCATCTCCTTCTAAGGAGTTTCCAGAGCCCAAAAAATCTAACCCAAAAAGCAAAAAAAATACAAAAAAGAAAGAAAGGGTAAAAAAAAGACAGAGAAGCTAAAATATCTTTATATACATGTATATATATCTTGCCCTTCCTCTTCTTCCTTCCTCTTGGATGCCAAGAAAATGTCTTGAAAATGGGTCCTCTTTTTAAGCAAAACCAAGAAACCATCTCATTGAAAGAAAGAGATATGTAAAGTTAGAGGCCCAAAAAAGAGAGAAACTTTGACCAGCATTTCTCTCAGTAGATCCCTCTATCTTTTCTTTCTTTCTCTTCCCAATTACTTTAAGCATCACTATAGTCTCTCCAGCAAATAAGCATCGTCACACACCTCCTCACGATGTAGAACCTAGCTCTTTGTTCTTTAACAAGCCTTGCACACTTTCTTGTAAAAGAACACCTCCTTTGAGATGAATTCTTCATTATAGAAGAAGTTGAGGATCTGCTTCTCGACGACCCTTCTTTCTTGGACAACTTCCACTTCTCATCAAAATAGAACTGTGGTGGTGCACTTGCACTATGAGTGAGAGTAGTGGCCATGAAAATTAACAAAGAAATGACTTCTCAAAATACTATAAAAATCTCTATTCCCTCTCTCAATGGGCTTTTCAGCTAAAAAAGAGAGACAGAGAAAACAAGAATAACAAGCAGGGAAAACAGAACAGTGGTTTTTTTTGGGCAATGAGACTGAGTCACTGAGGAAGAGACTTGGTGGGTTAGGGTTCCTATTTATAATAAGTTAAGAGTAAAGAAAAATAGGTCGCAGATGAGTGTGGCAGGGTGTATCACCTGGGCCTTCTTTGCCTCGAGAGGCCCACCATATAAATTTTTAATTGTTTAATTATTTTATACCACAAAATATTTGTATTTTATTGAGGTGGGTTCCCAATACACACGTCATGGGCCATGGAAGAGAGAGAGAGAGAAGGTGAAGAAAATTTAATGCAGGAAATCTCACTGAGCTGTGTGGGGGCGGTAAGCCTGTAACTGTAAAATTCTAGGTAATTAGAAAAAAGGTTTTTTTTTTCTTTTCTTTTTCTTGGTTGGAGATCATAAAAAGCTATGGTGTGAGATAAAAGAAAAAAGATCACAAGAGATCGCAGTAGAGGTGCTGCTTTTTCCAGCGATTGTGAGTGGCACGAACTATTAAAAAAAACTTTTGGTTCAGTGTATAATGCACCCGATTTTCATTTGAATTTTTTCCCTGAATTGTATATGAAGTTTTGGCAGACCACAATTTGTATTTTTTCCCTAATCACGAAGGAGGAGAGTAAGAGCAATAAGGCCATGTTGAAAAAGTGGTTTCCACTTCACACACTGTTTTGCCAAACGTAGACAATATGTTTTGTTCAAGTTGTTTCGATTTTCTATCTTTGGATCGTCTTTGCAGTTATCATTTCAATCTTGCTTTTTTATGGTACCGATCTTATGTTTGTGTAACTTTACATCCAAATGACATCTTGTGTTTTTGCTTTCGTAAGAGCTCTGCAAAGTAAAAATTGGGGATGCAATCCATACGGTTGGGTTGGGTTTATGCATCTGCTTGGACTGGATTTTTTTTTTTTTAGTAATATATTTGTGTATCATAAATAGGAATATAATTTAATTATGTATTTATAAAAGTAGATAATAAATAATGTTACTATTTGATTGTTGGTGTTTGAGGTGGGTCGAGGAGGGAGGCAGGCACCGCTTACCGGAAGAGCGGATTTATTTCAAACTGGTTGGATGAGCATCTCTTTTTCCGTTAAATTGTTATTGTTATCTCTTGTAAAATCATGGACTGAATTTCGTGATCGATATTATCATTGTTGTTATTTAATCTTGGCAACAAATCGTATGGTAATGAATTCCAAACAGTTAATATGAACAAATGAAGTTTTAATCATTTAAAGAAATAATTTTGATTTTAAATTTTTATATATGAATTTTTTTTTAATGTTTTGTGCATCCAATCAAATAATGAAGATTTAATCTAAATTTGTAAGTCTAGAATACTCTAAAAATCTAAAAAAGCAACCGTATAATAATTAGTTTAATTGTAATTTTTTCTTTCTTATATCACATTATTATTATTTTTAATTTTTTGAGTATTTTTTTAATTTGTTTGTACATCAATTAAAATTAATTATTTTTTCAAATAAATTTCAAAATGCTAAACTTAATGTATTTAAAAAATTTAATAATTTTTTAAATATTATATTCAAGTCCAACCTCTTGAAACTAGACGCCACACTATTAATAACTTGATATTAGTTGAGAAGAGCATGCACTGTGTTTCCGTTTTTTCTATTTTTTTACAGTAATTTTTGTTCGGTTTTCTTGTATTAAAATTAACTTTTTTCCAATTAGGTTTCAAGCAAACCATTTACATTAGACTGATATAGTTAAAAAAAATATTGTTGTTTCTCCTAAATTTAAACTCTATAGTTATTAATCTTTTAATTCTCAAAAAAAAAAAAAAGTGATTAATTTCATACCATCAAAATATAAATTCTTGCAAATCTCTCTTGCTGTGCACAATTCAGGAAAAACATGCAATTAATCGCCTCCCAAGAAATGTGATTTCTGATGTGCCTATCAATCTACAAACTAGCAATGAGAGGAAAATGGTACCTTGCACATGATACAGTTTACGAAGATACCGTGAGGAAATAAACTTATTCAGTGATCTTCAAACGAATTTTCTTAAAAAAAGGGCCTAGGATTTAGAGGCTGTAAATAGCTTGGGTGACTAGACTCTACCCTCTTTATCGGCTCAAAGTTACTCAATTTACCATGATGTCATCCATGGTAATAGCCTTTTTAAAGGGATAGGTTATATAGCATCGGCACTTTCAGAGCTAGGATCAGAACACTAAGAAATCGGAAGGCACCTGTTTAGTTCTTAGATAGTTGGAGGTAATGGTAAAATAAATTAAAGTGAAGCAATCCAAGATTTTATCTTCTTGATTTTGCAGAGCTAGGAAAATAAAAGAGACAAAAGATCTTCTTGATTTCCACCACAAAATCAAGCAATTTACAGGTGGCAATTCATCATCATATGAACTTGAAGTGGTGTCGACTGTACAAAGAGAGTAGAGTTATTTCTTATTGCACTGATGAGTATGCATGGATGGTTTAATTTCACTCTGCTCTGACAAATAGCATACAATTTTTTATGTCTTCAGTGTTTACGTACGTGAGTGCAGGAACCCACCGACCACGTACCCAAAGCCACCCAGACAACACGGAGTATACTCCGACGTCCCAATAGTTTACTCGCACTTCTTTTCTTATGAATTTTTCTCTTTTTTTTTACCCTTTTCATATTATATTATTATGTATTCGGGTTCAAAATACACCACTTGCTTTTACTTTCTGCAGTTACAATATTACGGAGATTTTGATATTTAATTTTAGATAGAGTTATGAATTGTTGGTTAAATAAAATTTCAGTTGGAGTTGGGAACCAGTCATGAAATATGAAAACTAAATTCAAGAAAATACGGTGATAGTTAAAGAGATGCACTTCATAGGTTTAAATGTTTAATTTAGTTTTAATGTATAAAAATTATTTTAAAAAACTAATGACAAACTATTGGTTCAGCAATAAGTCAATTAGTCTGGAGACAGTTTTTATGTTAATGTGCAATTAAACTTGAGAAAAAAAAAACCGAAAAAATCACTTGACTAAAAAATCATCATTCTCCAACTAATAAAGTAAAGAAATTGAGATTTTCTTTCATGTGTGGTTGATTTTCATGTTTTTTCGTAAAACAGTGTCAGAAGTGCAGCAAATTACAAAAATGGTCGAAAGAAGAAATTGAATCCAAACACAGGAGTCGACTTATATTTTTGGAGAGGGAACTCTCTTTGCTCATTCCTAAGCTTAAGATAATTCATTGATAATGATTATAAATAATATGACATTTACATCCTATTCTTTTTTTTAAAAAAATTACGCTTTCTATATTATAATTAGTCTACTTCACGAACGTCCGAAAAAATATTACAAATATATATATATTTTTTTCATATTTTAAAATTTACACACTTCTTTGCCACTTTCTTTGTTAGAACTCGTTTTTTTTATTGTAGTGATTAAAAATAAGATAAATATATTTATATATTCTCATATAATACTCAAAATCTCTTATATATTTTTTAATTTTTTAAATGCATCTTATTTGTTTTTGAAAATTTTTGAAATTTTTAATATATTCTTTGGATCAATTTTTTTTACTATTGACAAATTTGTTGATAGAAATTCTATGTACTAAAATTCGAAAAAAAAAGTAAAAAAAAAAACACTTAAAGTCACTTATGTGTATTTTCTATTTTTGAAGTTTTTAGATTTTTTTTTCATTTTAATTAAAGGTATTTCAATTAAATTTTTTTCATATAGTTGAAAAATTGATTGGAATAAATGATTGAGTATTTCAAACACATTTAAAACACAAATGGTATGTAATTAAAAATCTAGAATAGCATTAAAGTATTGTGTAATGTACCCCTAAAAATATAAAGCATTTAATAGGTGTTTTACAGTAAGATTTGTACTTTTATGCTATTCTAGTTTTGTTATAGAAACCTGCAATGGGATAGGATTGAGATGGGTTGTGTCATTACTAGCTCATAAAAAAAATATATAATTAAACAGTAAAAATTACATAATAAATAAATAAATTTATTGTAAATCGAGATAGAAAAAAAATTAAAATTTTTTATCTTAATCATGAGAAAAATTAGAGATTAAAATCATGAATCATAGTTTCATTGTATGGAAATGATTGAACTATCAAATATTTTTACAAAAAAATCGAGGTGATTATTTTGAGACATAATCAGATTTTTTCTCAAGATGATACAAGCAAACTCAATCATCTTTCTGAATCTAACAAGTTTACGTTATTTAAAAGACTTAAAATTGAATAAAATATAATATTACTCTTACCTGAATTTGTAATACAAAAAATATATTTTTTAGCAAGAGAATAAAAAAGAGAAGATAAAAGAGCTATAATTTTTTTTAATTTCTAAGTAATGTGTATCACACTTCTTACAAATGACAAAAGACAAAACTTTATATATATACAGGCAATAAAAATTAACTGTTCTGACAGTTTGAGAATAAATCATAAAAGAAAAGTTTTTTGATATTGTAATTTAAAAATTTCAATTTTTTTTATAAATATACTTTAACAGGTTATAATTCCTCCTTTTCTGTCTCACATGAATTGGATTTTGGAGCGAGGGAAAATTCTTTTCCTAATAGTTTTAGGATAGGCTTGGAGATTCTTCATTAATTAAAAAAATAATTTTTTTTGTATTTATTATTAATATTTGATAGTTAATGTCTAATGAAAAATAAATATTGAATTTTACCATAATTCTCTTAGATGGTTAAGTAAAAGAAAAACCAAGATATAAATTTAACAATAAATTATTTTTAAAAAATCAATTAATCAGGGAATTTATATATACATATAAAGTTCGGGTTTTTTTGGCTCGCATCTTCATTTGATTGTCAATGAAAAAATTGCCCCATACCCCCTTCTATCGGGTCAGATTTGTCGAATACCATCCCTATTTTTTTCACATGGTAAGTAATAATATCAAACATAGTAAAAATATTACACTGACATTATCTATCATCTAAGATTATGAACCAATCCAATGCATTTTTTACACCAATAAATTTGTTAATATCATTTTATGATAAATGCATTATCATTCATTTTGTTCTTTGATTACAATCGTAATCATAATTATACTATTAAATGTTAAACGATCCACATTTTAAATATGATTCACTAAATAAATGATTTGGTCAAATATAATTATTTATAATAATTTTATTGGTTTGGTCTATAATCTTAAGCGGTAGAACAATTTGGTATAATAATTTCTCTCAAACACACTAAATTTTGGCTAAAACTCCAATGCTACTGTCATGTAAATTTTCTGAATTGTCCTTATTTTATGATATACAATAGCATTACTTAATTCTCTCTCTGTCTTTTTTTTTTTTGGTTTTCTTTAAAACATGATTCTATCTTTACGCTTGGTAAATAAAGCGTTGATTTTTTTTATTTAAACTATCTATTGAAATGAAAATTAAAAATTGTATATCATTGTATCTAAGATGTTTTTATAGATTTGTTTTTATATTATCTTTAAAACTCAATAATAGTCAATCCAATAAGCATGACTTTTTTTTAATTCATTGGAGAATAATTTGGAGGTGAAAAATATCTATTTTCTATGGATTCAACATAGAGTTCGAAGAAAGAAAAGGATCACATTTAAAAAGAAAAAAGAACTAAGTAATAATGAATAAAACGAGGGTATATTAAAAAATTATCTGACGTGAAAAAAATATTACACTGTCAAATTCGGTATGATGTAATAACATCAGTGCTGGAATTTTAGCCCACAGCAAATCTTAATTTCCTCATATTTTTTAAATTTTTAATAGTTGGTAGCTCAAGTAATCAAACTTTGATATAAAAGCAAACTCGGGTACTTTCTGGAAATTTTCTGAGAGTTAAACTGACGAAATAAACATATGCCTTTATCATCATGGGGCTTGGTTGCTTATAGACCTAGCTAGTGAAATGATTTTGTGGATCAGCGGACGTGACCGTACACAGTGATTGAGCCGACATGCCCTTTCACTTGGGTGTACATTTGATCAATCAGGAGCAGGCAATCACCTACACGCTACAATGACATAACGAAGAAGGGCTAGTAACCAATGACTGATGGTTGGCGTGCTTTCTATTTTAAGCCCTCGGATTTGAACAAATGGTGGACCCAGTTTTTCTCTTGCTTTGATCATGCGCGGCCATGGAAACTGTGGCCGTCAAGCTAAAAAATTTGCTAATGTGTTAATGACCGTTGAGGAAAATATGACAGAAAAGGCATACTTGCCGTTTTAAGGAAAGTTTTAGTGGAAGACGTACCGTATATTTCATGTTTGTACAATTGAAAGGAAGAAAACCGATTTAAGATGTTTTTCCTTTCCTAGAAATGCCTGAAATCTTTAGAATTATTATTGACACAGGAAATTGGAGTTAGTGGTTGAGATTTAGTTAACTCCGTGGCCACATATTCATCCCCACCACTAGCAAACATAAAGAAGCATTGTTTAAGAAAACGGGATTTCTCTTTCCATATTGTAGAGTAACTTTATTTTAACATGTCCTTGATAGTTTTTATCCTACGGCATCTTTATCTTAATAATTAGTTGAAGACTTGAAGTCTCGAAATCGCTCCATGAAAAGAAATATTCATATTGAGCATGAAATTCCCCGCAACTAGCTCAATTGTTAATAAAAGATCGATGCACGTGTGGAGTCTTCGCTTCTCAGAATAATTCAATCAGTGTACAGAGTCAATGCCTTACGTTCGATTCTTAAACAACAGAGGCTCTATCTATCCTCTCTACTTCAAATCGCTAACCTCGGTCTAATCCATGAATTATCTTAAGGACACTCTTCACGGGAGCAAAAACTCATGCCTTGTCTCCTCGCAATCATCCAATGAATTTGCAAACTAGCAGAATGATCATGTATATAGTTGGAGCTAATTACTTGACCACGTTGACGTACTTACTCGAAGACAAATCCGTAAACAACGAATCTAATTGTGCTAGTTAGTAAAAAGAGATATTTATCACCTTTTTTTATTATTATTATCAAAAAGAGATAGCTTTATTACTAGAAAGTTAAATTTACAGTTGGATTCATTTCAATTTACGTTTTTTTTCAACATACGTATATATGAAATATGTGTACTGGTGTGCATAATTGTCTAAAGGAAAGGCATATATCGACATATTCAAATTTAGATGCTATGAATTTTAAGGTTTAAATAGCACTAATATTCTATATGAATTTTTAAAATAAAACCAAACGTAATAAAGATACAATATTATGAATTTTCATTTTCGATTTTTTTCAACATCTTTAATTTGATATCTTTTACAAGCCAGAGCTATTTGATTGGACCATGATCTAGTTTAATTAGTGAAATAATTGTTGATATTTTTTTAAAAAAAGAGACTAATTAAATTTGACTAACATTAAACATAGCTAATTTGATTTCAAGCTTCGTTATAGTCTTTGTTTTTCAGTTTATTTTGAAAATTATCCAGAATTTAGAAGATAAAACTTATAAGATGAGGATATTCTAAAGAAATACAATGAAAGGAATGCTTAAAGTATCTTGGACACTCCATCATTTGTGTAAAGTATTGAGGACGATTTGATATTAAAAAAAAAAAAAAAAAAAAAAAAATTAGTTTCAAGATTTATTTAGCAAAAAAAGCTTTGTCCTTCTTGAGTAGCGTCACGTAGGCTGGTTATGGTGGTGATCACATGGGGCACATGACCACAATGCCTGTAGAGACCAGCTTTTTATAGATTATTCATGCATCTCATGGTAATTTAGATTTGGGTAAACTGTAATTTAATCCTCTCAATTGTGTTCTATTCAGTTCAGATTCTATAGTTTAAATTTTCTATATTAACCAGATAATTTTTGGAAAAAGTCCAAAATGACCCTTTTCCATTAAATAACTAGCCACAATTAATGGTGGCATTTTGAATTTTATCGAATATCTTTGGAATTCTAAGGATTTCTATAGAATAATATTACACGTATGTTGTTTTGAGATAAAAAAAGTTGGAGCGAACAAGAAAAATTGAAAAAAAAGAGCATTTCCATATTGAAATGTTTTGGCAAGCTATAAGGTTAACATTAGGAGGTTTTGATTTATGAGGACTGAAATATATTTTAGTCTTTGTCCCGGATTGAGGTTGCTCGTGTCTCTTTGAACACGTGTCGGCCGGCACCACGAAAGCTTTGTGTCTCGGTCGCAGAGACCAAACGTTCTTACTGGCTCTTCCTCTCTGGTCAAACGTCAACGTCTATACACGAGCGATATGGAGAGGGAATCTGGTGCACACACGTGTAAATAAGGTAAAAAGTGATTTTCAAATCGTTGTTTTTTTGGCGTCGTCACTAAAAATAAATAAAAATAAAAAAGGTTCATTGGATGGAAATTAGTTTGATAAATTTTGGATGGTGGTTGGTCTATGGTCCCAACATTTAAAAAATAAAAAATGCTCACATGCAACAGTCACATCACATAGCAAAAATTCTAGCTTGGGAGTCATGATAGATTGGTCTAATTGCATGTGGGATTCGACAGTTGTTTTAAGTTTGAACCGAATTGAATCACGATTTCAAATATGCTATATCTTTTGTAACTTTTATAAGAATATCTTTGGATCAAGTGTATATTAGGTTCCTAATTAAACTATTTACACTTAAACAGAGGCATCAATCCAAAAAAAGAGAAAAAAATGTTAAGATATAGCTGATTAATTACGTTAAGGATTAATTGAATTTTTGCAATAACAGGTTAATGATGGCATTGCAAGGATAAGAAATACAAGCAATTTCAAAAGAGTGAGAAATTATGAAATTCTCATGGTTACTTCTCTCACATTCATACGATATAGGAATTTGGATTCGCTTGTAAAAAGTAAACACTATCTCTGCATTGCATGCATGAATATAATTCAAAAAAAAAAAACAATATATTATAAGAATCGAATAATCTTTCAAATTGTTAAAAACCATTTCAAATAAAAAAACTTGAATTATTGAATGAAGTCTCAAAATATAAATTATATTATTTTTTAAAACAAATTAGTAGTCATTCTCATCGATTTTGTAATAAATCATTAACCTTGTGAAGTTAACATTAATACACCCCTTAGATTTTCTTCTTGTGAATTTCAATGCAATAATGGTGGGATGATTAGTTAATCTTCAGAGGAAACATAGTACACATTTATAATGAAAATGCTGGGGACATTTCTTGTATAAATATTTAACAAAAAGACATTTCTTTTATAAATCAACTCTTTCTATGCAGTCTCGAGGGTCAGGTGGAAACAAATTGAACTACAATAGTGCAAGTGGCCTGACATCAAGTGTTTCCTACATCAACACCACGTTGAAAATTAATCTCGAAAGAGTACACCATACATTCGAGGACATTAAATGACCATCTTAAGGAAAGCAATGAGCATTTCAAGAATTGTAATGTGCCTGTGTTCTTTGGCTTAAAGTTAATTTCAGCTTGTCCCTATCGAATGTACCTGTTTGGACAAGAACGTATGGACTGGTTTAGTTGATGTTCTCCCTAATTTATAGGTTTGGTTAAATGCATTGAGACAAACAATTATAACTTGAAGAGTCTGGTTTCAGTTTCTTGCGAAATCGTTGAATTAACGGTGAAAACAAATTCAAGGTCAACTTGGACGAGCTGAAAAACGGATCCATGCCTCTGTGACAACCCTGGGACAATCTTTCCGTGTACAGACAAGAAATTTTGATCACTTCCTACAATTCCGAAGCTTATGTTTTGCTCCTTTAGTTCATTGCAATTTTATGGGCAGAAGTTCCTGTTGTGAAAATCCTGAACAAGAAATTTCTTGCTTATTCATTGTTGGCTTACTACAATGCAGCACGTAGTCTTATTCTTGCTTATAGCGAAACCTTGACTAAATCCCATGAATCAGAAGTTGAAGAAAGTACGTAGTTGGCTTTTATTTACTGTTGCACTTTGCTTTATCCCAGAATTTATGCTGGCATCTCTGATGAACTGGGAGTTGAAAGACCAAGCTTAAATTAATCCGTTTTCCTCGCTAGACGCATTATCGGTAGTTAATATGCACACCGAGTTGCGTTCTTTACATTTTGTGAATACGCTGTGAAAATTAAGGACCAGCTCTTATGATGAAGGCAGTGTTTATGGGAGGACATTTACCCTGAAGAAATTCATCATCAGGTTTTCTTTCACAGAAATTCCCAAGCTGTCGTTATCTCTTATGGCGATTAGTTGAGGTTTTCTTTTCTTCCTGTTCTTCTTTTTGTCGATAAAATATGATCAGGTGAGTTGAGCAGTCAAAGCTCTCCTTACCTGCAAATGGATGCCAGCTTACTAAAGAATTCAATTTGTAACATCAATGTATGAAAATTGGAAATGGCTAAAATAAGGAACCAATGTTTAGCTTCTTGGGATCATAAGTAGGTTAATCAAGTGTCTTATTTTATCTTAACCAACCAATTAGAGCTTCTTGTCCTATTCGGTCGTGCCCCTTAATGGTTTCTAAATCAAGATTTGGGACCACTACCAATGCTTTTGGCATGCATAGGCAAGGTTTGGTCATAATTTATCTTCCTCTTTCTGGATATGTTTACATTTTCAGACAGGCACCGTTTGATCATCACATAAATAAGAGTTGTCTGTCCCACCGTGACTTCTTTAGCATCGTGCAGGCGTGTCTTCACCTCTAAAGTTGTTCTAAAAGCAAAGGTCAAAAAAGGAGGAACAAACTCTGATATCAGCTTTAATGTGCTGCATTTGAAGTTGGGTAATTCAATATAAACTTCGAATTTTAAGTCAGCAAACAAACGATATTGCTGCGTAACTTTTTCGTTTTGTCAGTTGTTTAATCAAAGTGGGATAAGAATCTCACTTCTCACATGCGTCCATGACAGAAAAGCCTGCAAATTTGTAATCAAACCTATTGTTAAGTATTGGCACCAAGCACTTGGCAGCGAATGTCAAAGTTAATTCACACAACATGTAATTTGCAAAGCTGCATGCCAAGTATAAGATAAATAATTTTGCTGAACTTTTCCAAGCCTTGATCAAAATAACTGTCCCAACTTGGTCTAATCTATGTTAATCAATTTGAAGGAGAGGGCCATCAAGGGAACATCAAACATCATTACCCATGTCTTTGTTTGGAGGAAGTGCTTTCATTATTTTTCCTGCCGGAGTCTGCGTGGCGTAGAATATGATTTGGAGCAACGTAATTGTTTTAGACAATGAATGCGGCCTGCATTATTGAAATTTAGGGGTCATAATTGATTTTCTATTCAGATGATTAATATGGATAATGATTGGAGGAGATTTTCTGCCCCTTTGTACCTTTTTTTTATGAATTATAATGGCCTTGGAAATAATTCTCTCTCTCAAGTTATGCCTATATGATACGAATATTGTTTATTGAACCGGTTCTGCTGATGTCCAACACAGCAAAATATTGGCTATATCAATCATTAGGTTTCAAATCGACAACAGCAACAAATTTTCCCTTGTGGCAAGCATTAATGCTACTTGAGAATGCAACAATTCGAGTTCACTGGAAACAAACATCATATGATAATATCTATGCATGGCCCATTGGCCCTCAAGAGTTTTTAATCCATACTTAATCTGGTGATTTTACGACGGTTAGCATGTCAAGAGTTGAACTGAAATTCAAGAACCTTAATCATTTGTACTAAAGGTTTTCGTCTGTCCAAATTGAATGTATCAGTTTCAAAAAGAAAATTATGCAGTGGTTCAGTTGATAATCATTTGGGCTCTTAGTTCTGGTGGAATGCATTTAGACTCAAATGGATTCTTTCTCACTACAAGTTTACTTCCCTGAACTGACAGGAACCTTCGTTTCTTCAAACAAGTGGAAAATCTTGATCAATTTCTTCAATTTCACTCATGTGTGTAGCATTATCAAAACCTTTTCTCAGACAGGAAAATTTCTTGGTTGCACAAATGATCATAGGCCAAGATTTGCTAATCCTTCTGAACTTCCACAAAGGGAAAAGTATCTCACTTGCTACAAATTTTGGACTACTTCCATAAACTAAAAGTTGAAGAACAAACAAATATCACCATTAACTAACCACCCTTTTCTGCAGGAAAGATTCTCACTGAAAGCGATCTCTGCAACACAATTCTACAGTAACGCATCATTGTTCATCGATTGCATAACAGAATCACAACAGAGGAGCAGCTCCCTTAAGTCTTGCCATGTTAAGGGGTTAGCTGCATTTGCTTGGATTCCATTTCTCACACCTTTTAGAACCCAAAGCTATATCGTAATAACTTTCATATTGCCTATCAAATAACATGTAAATATAATGCTAGTTGCAATAAAAGTCAACAATTATGGAAGACTTTCTTTGTGAATTTATCTGGCAGCAGCAAAAATTTGGGAGGCCGAACATGTTCAAATGAAGTTGGTAGTTCAGTATTTTTTAGCTTAAAGTTTCTCTGTCCCAATTGAACGTATGGATTAGATGAAGGTACAGTGTTCATACAAAATCATACGTTTGTCGCCACAAGTACCAAACAACTTCTTGTTTCCAATGAATGGGAGATTTTTCTTAATTTTACTTCACTTTCACTTAAATGGCTCTTCTGACTTACAGTCCCTAGAGATTTCCTTGCTCACTAATATCCGAGAGACCGAGACCAATGATTAGTCTATCTGCAACACCTGTAGACATAAAGAAGGGGAAAAAAAAAAAACAGAATCATGATCACACACAGACATTTCTTTTCATGCAGCTTGCTTATAAAAAGACCTAGGCTATTAAAAAATGGAAAATAATACAGTTGGCTCTTCATCGATGCCGATGAAAATCTATCATCAACTCCACTGCCGGGAATAAAACACATTTCTTTATGAAAATAGTGTATGAACAAGATTACAAAAGCAGGAGCAGCTCCCTTAAAGCATGCCATGTTCTAAGGACAAGATGCAGCCATTGGTTTCTATGGCATCTTTGTTTTGTTTGTGATTATCTTGCTTGACCCGTCAAAATTCTCCTCAAATGTAATTTGTAATACCATACAAGCACAGAATTCTCTCTCTCATTCTGCACAGGAACTCAAACAGCCAAATTAAGAAATGAAAAGAAGGAATCTGGGATCATGGAGTAGTTAATGCTTAGTCTTAATATAGCTTGATTAAGTTCTCTAGTTGATTACAAATTTTGTCCTACTCGGTCGCATCCTTTGCTATTGATTTTGAGTTCATTGTTTCGTCGTCTAGTATAGTACATTGCTGCTTATATTTTATTCTTCAGAGTTTTTACTAACCCTTCATTGTCAAAGTCTTCTGTTATTTTAACTCCTAACCTATGATTCCACGCATCATAACATGAAGGTTTGCCTATAATATTGTTTAACATTTCTCTTTTAAGTTGCAGTGTCAACAAAAGAAGGCTATATACCTTTCCCTCTGAATCACTTTTTTTCCCATTGCAGCCGCTAGTTATTTTATCTAACTAGTAAAGGTTAACATCTTCATGTGTACAATTATCGTAGCTGGTTTTTAAAAACCACCACCTCAATGTAGTCATCATTCAGCAACCATTGAGATATTTGATGTCATTTAGTATACTTGCCTGTTAATCTATTCATCTCACCAGTTAAACTTTTAATCACTTAGTGCGAAGTTTGATAGCACAATCCAGAACTTGAAATGGTATAGTTAAATTAGAGTTGGTGAATGCTATTACTAAAAGAGATGAGAATATCACATGCCTCCATGTGGACTACATGGTTTAAACCTTAAAATTAGAGACTTCTTCGCTTACCCATATCTTTTTCCAAAATAAATTAATTTTCTCCTCTGCTCTAAGAATCTAAATGTACTAGAAAAGATGACTCAGAGGAAGACAAAAATCATGCAGGAGGATTCAATGCATTCTGAGCCTGCTATTTCTGATATTTTATTTAGATATAGTTATTCTCCTTGATTTTGTTAGCAGAGGACAGTCAATATACGTATATAAACTTCATTTCTGTCCGATCCAGATTTTTTCCTGCCTGGTCAATTCAACCCATCTTTTGTTTTGCAATTAGTATATCTATCACATGCTCACATAATCTTCAAAATAATTAATATCTTTGTTTACCGATGAGTACGTTCAAATCCTGAAAGACTGCCTGCTACACTTACTCTGACCTTTTACCACTGGAGAGAGAGGGGTGAGGATAAAAGTTGCCCATTATCTTTATTTAAACTACTTTAGGAGTAATTTTTATAATTGCAAATCAAATCTACTAAAACATGATGTGAAGCTACAACAGATAGTCTAAGATATGATTTGTGCTTCTCAATATATATAGATTTTGTAATCTGATTGAAGCACAATGGTGATCCGTTGAGATTTTGTGTCCACATATTTTTGCCAAAAAAAAAAAAAAAAAGAAGGAAATTTGAGAAGAGGAAAAATAAAATCATTTTCATGGTTTTGCTTCTCTCTTTTTTTTTTTTTTTTACTTTGGCTGACGTATCTTGTTGTGGCATTTCAGTGTTGCAAGTTGCAACAGGCTGAGTAGATAATTAGTAGAAAAAGAAAAGGTTGAAAAACAATGGATCCTTATTCTAATATTCTAATCTAAGCAATCAAAGAAGCCCAAGTTTTATGATTGCTAACATTTTCTTGCAAACAATGACGGATTGATAAAGACATGGTCCCTGTTAGCAACAACAAGCATGAACATTAATGCAAGTGAGAGCGGTAATATACCTGCATTTGAGCTCGAAGTTCCACTGTGTCCTAATTAAATGAATCATTTGAATGAGAGTGCATTCTTTGGTCTAGCTAGCTGATGCTCCTACTATTTATAACTCGATTAGTTGCATTTAGACAAGCTATCTTCCTAGCAAAACATCTGCTTTTGTTCCCATTGAAAAAGCAATGTTCTTGCTGCTAGCTACAAATCCCAGTCCTTCTACAGACAGGCAGATTTTGCTTGCACTGTAAGTATTAAACCAATCGACAGGAAGATTTTCTTGCTTCAATACAGTAACAGTGTTGTTTGTTACTTCATTTTTACTCAGATAGATTAGACCATCTTTTGGTGCTAGTATGAACAAATTGCAGAAGAAATTTTACTCGTAGTATGTATCACAAAGACGTAGCGAGGTTAAGACACCGACATTTCGCATTTTTAAAGGAGATTCAAGATTTTTTTTTTTTTTTTTTTAAGAACCAGTGCAACAAATATTTTCAACGACTTGTCTTTTAAGAATATAATAGTCCAACTATTCCTCGTCTAATTTAAATCCAACTCTGCATAAATGAGTAGAGCTCTCTACCCTTAAAAGACACTTTTTTGGCTGTTAAAAACTCTAAAAAATATTGTTTAAGTGAAAATATATTTTTAATCACTTGAGAAAGATATCAATGAATTATTGTCTTAAGTTGGTTTTAGAATGAGAATAAATGTATCGATTTATATTGTTAGGATTTTAAAAAAACTTATAAAAAATTTATTCTAACTTCCTTTTTAAGTTAACATAATGTTATAACTTTTTTAAAAAAATTAAAATAAGTTTTTAAATTAAAATGTTACAACACCTTCTAAGACAGCAACTTCTATATGAGTTTCTTACTCAATTGTTCATATATACCAATTCTTACAAAGCTCTATGTCTGTACTATTTTTTTTATTTTTACTGAATATGTGGGCTTTCTTCCGAAGAAAAGCATTATTACAACTTTTGACCGACTTTAGACTGATAATACGAAAGCCAAAATCAAGGACTAACAGCGGAATGGAAATTGAAATTAGAGAACAACTAGTTGCGTCTTCATGGATGTCAATGCATTTCCAATCATGGGTTCCATATATGGAACATCAATTTTATAACTGTGGTGGGACATGTTTACCTGATCATTGTAAAAGGAGGGGAACTCCCAGAAAGCATGCCATGTCTAAAGGATAGGAAGCACTCCAAAGCTATTCATCCTTTTTTTTTTTTTCCTTGGTGATGTCTTTGATTAATTATTCTTCTGGCATCTTTTTTTTTTTTTTTTGGTTTGTGATTAATTGGCTGATAACTTGACTAGTCAAAATTGTCTCAAATGCTGCATATGCAAATGGCATACAAGCATGAAATTTTTTTGGCATTGATGGCTCATCTACCACATGCAACTAAAAGAATTATTATTATTATTATTATTATTATTATTATTATTTTTTTTTTTTTTTTTTTTTTTGAGAAAGAAACAAAACAAATGAAGAAAAGAAGAGAGAAGGCATCTAGGATCATGGGATATGGTCAATCTCTTCACTTAATAAAGCTTAGTTGTAGCCCATAAATACTTGATTAACCTACATTTTAAAGTCGTGCTCTATTCTTTTGATTCCAAATTATTGGTTTTGTCCGCCACTAGTTATAAGGTTCACGAGCACTAGTTTATATATTTCTTAATTGTTTTTCTTTTCTTTTCCTTTTTTCCCTCTAGTTAAAAGAATTAAAAAGAAAAAAACAAATAAATGAAATCAGAAACACAACACATGACTTTATTTAATCTGTAACATTCAAGTGATTATTAAAAATACCCAAATTGCGACCGTTTGCTAATCGAACAACGATCATGTTTATTTTTCTCAAGTTTCTGTTTTTGAACTAGTGGGAAAAGAATATCACATGCCCATGTGAGCTACATGTTCTAAATCTATGACGTTATGTACGCCATAGTTTTTATAGCTTACGTTATGGGAACATAAGACATCATTCCCCATATCTTTGTTCAAAACAAATTAATTCTATTTTTATTAAATTGCTGTCTGAACCTAAATGTCTTAGAAATGTGATGTGGAGGAACAAGAAATCGTCACTCATGATTCAGAGCAACCGAAATTATTGCTGCATATTTATTCCCTGTTTTCGTTATCTTATTCTATTTGATTCCGATTATGAATTCACGATTTTGTTCCATCTTCTATATATATATATATATATATATAACATCATAAAGAAATCAAGATGCTTATCTAAAAAAATTGAAAAGATATATTTCTGTATCTAACTCAAAAAAAAAAAAAATTGTAAGAAAAATGCAACAAGAAATTATTTGAAATCTGAAAAAGTATCACTGGGTTATTTTGTACACATGAAAATACACTGGACCCAAACAAAAGCGAGATTGGGCCAATTCCGCTGTACAACCTGGGCTCATTTCAGGAAGGGCCTAGGCCGCATGCTCTATCAAAAAGTTTATCAAGTCTAAGAGACCATTGGGCTGGCTGTGAGCTCAACAAGGATAGAGTGACAGTTTCTATGCATAGAATCCAAGATCGTCTTATTCAATAGCAGAAATAATTTGAGAAAAACCTATTTGGAACATGATTATTGGGAATTATAGCATTACCTAATTGAAAATCAAACACAATCATCCACCGTTTTTTCAAATAAATCAATAAACAAAGACATGGATTAGTTTTCCAAAAAGACAATGAAAAGAAATCAAAGCAAAGAAACACCCAGTTCTCTAAGATACGCTGCTCTCCAAATTGGAAAAAAAAAGAGGCAATTTCAAAACACTACTGTACATAATGACAAAACGATTATTTAACGATGAGAATTTTTTTAATAACCCACGAAAAAATTTAATTGTAGTAACGTCCCTTAAAATCTTGTAACGACGTATAAGACATAGAATCTTCCAAGAATTCCTGATCAACCTAATTTCATTCACTGTGAAGATTTTGGTGCTCGGGACTGGCTCCCTTCAGTTTAAGTTTTTATATGTCTTCAACCAGTCAAGTAGATTAATGATGGCTCGAATAAGAATATCTAATGGCTAATAATTAAATTAGCATACCTCCTTTTTAACTCTCTAGTTTTCCTTTTTCTATTTTTTTCCCATAATCTTTGACTTTTGATCCAAAACTTTTACCATAAAAAAAACCTTATTCCATTCTATAGGAGATTTATATTAGCAGTTGTATTCTTCCTTCTAACATGAACTTAGTTCAGTTTTTAATATATTAAATAATTTTTCGAGATGGGAATGACATCCTAATTTTCCTATTCTTCTTTTAATGTCAAATAGACCTCTCAAGAAAATTGATTTTAATGGAATGAGTTTTAATCGGTTAAATAGGTGATTTCAAATTCAAATTTTTTTATATGCATAAAACTCTTTGAGTAACCGTATCCATTTTATACAATCTATCGAAAAACGAAATATTAGTCTGCATTTCTTAGCATATGATATCTTAAGAATTAAAAAAAAAAGATAAAATAAATTAAAAACAAAGACAATCTCTTAATGTTTTTCTTAATTTTCTTTATATACCACAACTCCATAAGCGTGTTTTCAATACTAATTAAATAAAGGGAACAACAGACAACTATACACAAGTTCCATCAATATTATTATCCAATCAATCTCTTCAGACGTCAAGATAAAGATTTTGTTGTCAAGAACTTAAGTCACAGATTTTCTTCATTTGTCAAGTCATAAAGCATCATTATTTATGAATACTCAACCTGTTTGTTGGAGCTTTCAGATCACTTGACCACGCACATTATTCAAGATTTTGGATTAATTTATTTATCACTTAGCTTCTGCTTGAAATTGAAAGATGAATTTTTTTTTCTAATATACAGACAAAAAAGAAAGAGAGAGGGAGACTTGACGGAAGGTTGGTTGAAACATTAGCGTTAACTATGAAAGGATCACGCTAATTAATAGCGTCTTGAAGGTTAAAGAATTAACATAAGTTGAATTGATATTAGTTGTTGGATATTTTTTTATTAGATGTCACTAATCCATTTAACTTATATTGGAGAGGAGCCGGATCCAAAATCACAAATTTTTCGTTAAGATATTTCGAAGCTCATGATAAAAAAAAAATATGTATTTTGATATTTCGAAGCTAATAATCAAAAGTATGTCTATTACAATAATACAATAGAAATAGAATTCGTCCATCTTCAATTATTTCCCTATGAAATATGAGTTTTCCTCCCTCTTTTATCAATTATCAATCACTTTCTAATTAACATGGAAAAAAAACAGATTGATTCTCCACCATTTTAACTGCTAGCTAATTAGAAGAATGATAACAGCAGCTGACCATTTATTAAAAGCCGACCCTATTGAATTACGGGAAGTTAATGACCTGCTATGATGAGTGGATGCTAGCTATCTATCTAACTCATCAGCTAGTAAAGAGTTAATTGCTGGAATGCAAATGATCAGGTAAATTGTATGCTGAACTATAGAACGGAACTAATTTGGATGGTTGGTGTTTTCAAGAAAATTTATGACAATAAGAAAAGATACAGCAGTCTTTCAGCCAGCGTACAGAATGATATACCAAGCGATCGATACCATCATAACTGATGTCATCTACGTACATCCATCCCTCACAAAGATATGTCAATTACAATACTATGGTCCTTTCCGAGATTGATAGTCAAATAACACAGGTTCCTTATGATGAATCGGAAGTCACTTTACCAGTGAGACCAAAATCCTCAAGTAAATTGGATAATGCAAGGAAGAAAAATGCCACCTAAATGAAGAAAATGTAGTAAAGAGAACAAAAGGCAAATGATATGTATGGAGTAAGAAAATATATGACAATCTTGAAACGTTCTAAAGGAAGGATTGTTTCGGTCAAAAAAGAAAGGGTTCTAGTACAGATCAAAAGCCTAGAGTAACGGGATAATATAATTCATCTTCTAGCTCCTACTATCAATGCTGCATATGATTTCTTTTCAGCGAGATCTAAAAATAAGAACTTTACACGAAAGAATGCCCATTATTTGATACAGCATATGCAGATTCCTGAGTAATATATACCTGGTTACTTGACCACTTCGAAATGAGATTGGACTGCCAATTAGTTTCTCCTTTGCACATACATTAATTATTTAAACAAGCACTGTATATAAAAGAGAGCACAAGCTAGCAAACATCAAATGTCAGTAGACATGTCATCCTCATTGAATCTAAATTATTTTTTATTTAGAAAGAAACACATGTATACTACTCCCTTGTAAAAACCCAGTAATTAGGCACCTTACACACGTATGAGTATATTATACCAAGTAGCCTATCAAGTTAAGCATAAGTTATTTTCTGAAATTATAAAGAACAAAATTAGTAAACCCTAATAAAAAAACTTCGATTAATTAGAGCAGTTTAAGCTTTCCTCGCTCTCTGGAAGATGCATAAAATTAAGCTGGAATTTTCTTAAAAAATTTATAACTCGTATACTTGCCAAAGGTTTGAGAATTAAAAGATCTTTACTAGATCAGAAATCAAAGTTATAGTTTCCAAGAATATGGTTAGTAGAACATAAGGTGTTTCCTCCTTTTTTATGCTCAAATGTATGAGAAGAATATTTTTAAGAAACTGAAAAAACCAAATCCGAAAATTCGCTGTCATAAAGCTGAAGATTTCCAACAAGAGGCATCGGAACAATCAAAACTCTGCAAATCTTCATGTACGAAAGAGCAGCAAAATTAATGATTGTATGTGTGACTTTGGTGTATTCAAGCACATCATATACCAGGAATAATTAGAGCTTTGTCAGTAATCTGAAAACTTGCATACATAATACAAAGTTGAAAATGATCAAGATCTAGAGAAAGCACCACAAGAGAAGAAAGATATATAGAGAGAACAAACGAACCACCATGTATCCAAGAAATAAAAGAGGCCCACGTTGTGTAGTGATGTACAAGTTCCTATTGAAGTACAGACATACTCACTCATGAGATCAGATCAAAGGGTGGCAGTATTAAAAATCACCTGAGAAAAGTAAGTCAGAAAAAAGCACTCAAAAGGAATCATCTCTACAAATTCAAATCTCTTCAGTTAACACAGAGATTTACACCATATTGCCAAATGGACCATGACCAGGACTGCTTAACGCAAACCCTGGTGCAAAGTTGGGGCTAAACAGCACAAAACCCTAACGAGAAAAAAGTGACTGTATATTGCCCAAAACAAATTAATTGGTGAATAGCAGCATATGCTTCAAGAGTGCTGTTTTATTGACAATAAAAATTAAACTCAGTGAAAATAAGGTATATATTTCGAAGTATTTAGTGAGTTTACCTTTATCTTTGGGAGAAGGTGAAGTTGGAGAACAGAGATAAATAAGCCATTTATTGCCGCTGCAGCATCATCAAGATTCCCAATTCGAAGGGCTATTGGATTGAAACAAAGGGACCACCAAAAGCCACCACCATCACCACTCACTAGCCCTAATAAAGTTTGTGAATCTTGATGATGCTCCATCGGCAAACAGTGACTGGATTCGTTATTTTTTTTTAGATCTCGGTAACTATCATCATCATCGTCACTATCCCCATGCAAAAGAGATGTACAAAAGAAAAGGGAAAGAGTATAGAGCTAGTTAGTTAATTAGGATTTTTTTTTTTTTTTTCTGTTACAAAGGAACCCTCCTAACTTTATTTTTCTTAACAAAGAAACCCTAAACCTTAAATTATGAATTTTATCTAGGGAAGGGAAAGTGAGGGGAAAAAAATGAAAGGGTAACGAACGGCAAATTAAATAAACGCTTCAAAAGTTTAAGCCCATGTCCAAGTGTGGGAAATAAGTTAGACCCACTTGGTACAAAAAGCTATCCCTCAGGCCTGTTCTTATGCATAAATCGACAAGTGCTAAAGACTCGAAAAAGATACTAGAGAACATGGAGAACTATTTACTCAACAACATAAAAACCTCAAGTAATAGACTCAAAGAAACGAGAAGAGAAGGGAAGGGAAGGGAAGATGATTGAGTTCTGAAACATTGAAGGGTGTTAAGGGGTATAAATACTCTTGATGGAGGCTCACTAGGGTTACTATGAGTAATGAATATGAGAGATACGATGATTGTTTGGTGAGATTTGTCAGTTGTGTAACAGAGAGATTGAGGGAGAGAGAGAGATGGCGTACCCACAACAGTTATCCATCGTAATCCAAGGTACCAAATATACCACAAATCTTTAAACCTCACTGACCAAGTCATTCTTTCTTTACAGATATCAAAGGAATAATAGCTAATTTGAGAATGAGAAAATGAACGTCTTACCGCCAGTAATGGTAGTTATTGGTTATGGTTGCGTCTTCTACAAGCATATTCAAGTGGGTGGGGGGATGGAATTGACAGGTCCGGACATCTCAAGAGAGCGGGGAAGGTGGAAAGGGAGGTCTCCTAGGGTTTCAGTATCCTTGTTTCGATCCCTCATTTGCCATTTTGGGCCCTTTTGAAGCTTTTATCCGTGACTAGGTCTTGCAAAGTTTATGCCCTCTTTTGGTTCTTTTTTCAAATTTTATCTGTAGTCTAATTCATCCAGCAGGCCAACACTTAACTAGATATGCAAAGTAACACTTTCTTGTTTCTCTAGTGCTCATTTTCATTGACTCACCCCATCCCCTTTCAGGTTCCATTTCATCATTCAGTGTTTTCGTGGGATCATATAACTTATTTTGTACTACGGTTTTTGTTTTAATGAATATTTCTATGTATATCTCAGGTAATTATGCTCATGGTTTAAGTTCAAACAATGGATGAGACGCTTGCAAATCCTGATCATACTGTACATCTACATCCATATGTAACTTATGATTTGCTCCACTCCCCACAAGTAGACGTGGAGTGACCATTGCCATGTATTTGTGATTGATCACAATATTCTAGTACCAGTTGCTTTTTTCATGGTAATTATTTCTTATTTGAAGGGGATATCCATACATTTCCTCTGTTCCTTCTAGCTTCAGGCAGGATGGGTCATGCTGAATTATTGAAATTCTGTAGGTCCCTCTAAGCACATTAATTAATTTACCTTTGCATTGATTTGCTGAAGTAAAACAACGTCCGAATCTCGTTGAAATTAGGTTAAATATTCTGAATTTTCAATCAAATTTAAATAAGCTTTTAAATTTTTAAAAAATTATTTTTATTATCATAAACTATTTTTTTAATAAATAAGATGCTCATTTGGTCAATTTTCAAATATTGATTGCATATAAACTTCTAGCCGACAATTTAAAAAAAACAATGTGAGATAAAAAGTGATGGATGTGTATCTTATTAATTGACATTTTTATACACGTGTTATGTAACGACCGAGACCATTGAAATATAGCATGTGTATGCTTGTGTGTATTTAGCTTAATGTCTAATTAATTTACTTGATGTTGATGATTAAATTTTTGCCGCACCAAAAAAAGCTTTATAGACTTGCTACTCTCAATGATGAGTTTTATGTTTTAACTTATGTTTTGCTATCAAATACCATGCTAGTATGTTATGTGAAATTGCTATAAAAAATGACTAGGTCCGGACAAGTCATTTTTCGTTGATAAAAAATATTGTGTCCGGACATTACGGTTTATGTTGACGAAAACTCGCCATTGTCATGACATCGGTTTTTCATTGATAAGTTTTATATCCGGCCATACATAGTGACATATTAGTCTCTTTATTATGAAAATCACTTAAGGACACATTAATTAAGATTTATGCTTGAATTAAGGGACTTGATAGCATAGACTAGACAATTGAGAGAGACTTACCTTTCTCTGAGTGAGTGACAATCTAAGTGTCACCACCATACTTTGCATGGGTGACTCGGCCAAGGAGGTGTCATCCTTCATATTTTTTAAGCCTTTTTTTAATGCATGATCGGCCGATATAAAGAGAGAGTGAGGCTATGACTTGATTCTTTTGGCTATTTGAAACTTTTATAAGAGAAAACAGAGAGTTGCTTGAATGGGAGATGCCGTAACTTAGGGAGTTACTGCTAGTTTTGGGCTAAGAGTCGGATCGAGTGCAAGAAGGGTCTATTATGGTCTATTGAAGCATTTTCCAATCTCATATCTCTAGACCAAGTAAGTATAATTCATTCTACTACATCACAAGACCTAGGTTTAGGCATTTTTGGACATGTTGAGATTGATATTTTCTTATGTTTTTTGGATGAAAAGGGGTTAAACATTGTTGTATTTGGACTTAGAACCGACCACTAAGCCTAGAATCGCCATCTAAATCCTAGAAAAATATAGGTTGAACTTGATGTGCTTTTGTGGTTGAATGAAATGTTTGTTTTGCTTGATTGTATACTCGTCGAAATTGCTTGCCTTAGCTTGTGATTACGCCCAATTATTAATTTTATTGCTACAATATTATGCTTTAATAAATTCTAAATTTTAGTAGCTTGAGATGCAATTAGACATGTTTGATATGTTGGCTTAATGAATTATAACTTGTCTTGATAGGCTTAATGCGTAGAGGTCGTTAGCACATTCACGTTAGCTTGAATTCGTTAACGATATTTGTTGCTCAAGCATTGAAAGCGTGTATTTATAGCATGACATGGCACTAGTTCTCATGCTTTGTTTTAAGCAAGAAAAATAAGTCATGTGCATGAACATAGAGAGATCACCATGAAAATGATCCGGTGTATACTCGAGGTCTGGTCCTCGACTAGACGTTGTCTAGTTTTATGATTTTCGTCAAGGTTTTAAAAGAGGACCAAATCAAACATTCTACGTGGTATGTCCGAAAGAAGAAAATGAACTTTTTCACAAAAACATGCTTTAATAAACTTATGCATGGTTGCATTTGCTGAGCGTTAACTCATTTTTTATGTCTTGTGGTGTAAGTGACCGCAACAATGCTTGTGAATAGGTCGCTACAAAGATGGTGCTGCTTGAACATTTTTGGAGTTTATCGAAAAGGTATATTTTTGTTTAGGCATTTACGTCGTAGGCTATGTCTAGCTTATATTTGCAAGTTATAACATGTTTTTGTTTATAGATACCGAATATAAATAATCTTATAGCCAAGACTCGTATGTACAAAGTTGACTTCGAATGAAATGAAATATTTTATCTAAGGCCTATGTTCCTTATTTTATGCTCGCCTTAAATATTTTGAGATCCTACGTAAAGCATTCCTAATGAGTTTACATAGTTAGAACCTTAGTTTTGCACTACGAAGTCACATGAAAGTAGGCTATCACGATACGTGGCGGACTTAAGTTGCCGCAAGCGTTGGTTGTTTGGATGTAGTTTTACATCAACGAAATTATGAGGCACGACATAAGTTTTTGCATCGATGAAAAAGTTTCGGATATGAAATAAGTTTTTAAGTAGGCTTTAAGCCAAATGTCTCTTGTTGTGCATTGCATGTACCACGCACGATTTCGAGTCATAGGGCATCAACGCACATTCGACGAGCACGAGACATGGCGACTACGCACCTAGCCACTCGTTGGTCGTATGCGTTATGGTTATATCAAACGCTTCGTAAATTTTCGACGCGACCATAGCGTTCCAACCTTCTTTTTACAGCTCGGGGCGTTACATGTTATGTTTTACATAATTAAAATAATAAGACATGTAATATTTTTTAGTACTATGATGTAATCCTTATGCATAACCAACACTAAAAAAATTTATAATTTATTAAAAAGATAATTCATAGTAATTGAATTAAATTTTTTAAAGATTAATTGTACATTTTAATTTGATTGAAAGTTAATGATTTATTAGAATCATTTAACCAATCGAAAAACCTTTCTCTTTTTAGATTTGAGCGTGAGGTTTGATTAATTTTCTACTCGGTGTTTCAATTTTAAAAAGAATATCAAGATACTTCTATTCTTATTTGAATTATGGATTTAGAATACTAGTTTTTCATTCACACAGTTTAGTTAAGCATCAATGTGTATCGATTCCAACTAGCTAGGTTAGGTGCATTTTCTTTTTGGCCAATGCTTCAAACAATTTTGTGCAATGTTTAAAAAAATTCAATTAAAACATAAATTTATTGGAAAATATCTCTTAAATTTGAATAAATAAAAAAATCTAATATTAACAAAGAAAAAATAATTATCTTCCTTTATATAATGTTCTTAAAAATTGAAAGACTACATATATATATATATCAACTACTTCTAGTTTGAATGTATCAATTACTTTATATGATTAATTTAATCATATGACAAATGCAATTAACTAATTGCATGATATCAACTCGTGATAGTTAATTCAATAGATTTATCCTCCTCCCTCACATTAATGATTTATATAAGCTAATTGATTGCTTTATATGTTAGGAAACTAAGTCAATAAAAAAAATCATGCAATACAAAATTTATTCAACAAATTGTATTTACTTTACAACTACACTAAAAGTTTTTATTAGAGTTTTTCAATTGACGAGTTACAAATACAAAAGATGTTATCCTTCTTTATAGTCTATATATTTGGTTTACTATATTGCGA